GGAAGTGTTGAGGTGGGAGAGGCGAGCAGGGTGGGCAGAGAAAGGGGTCCCAGGAGGGGGGCCGCAGGGCAGAAGTGGGCCAGGGGCCGGAAAGCGGCCATGGCAGGAAGCTTCTCTCTCCAGGGCTCTGTTCGGGGGGCACTTGAGACTCGGGAGGCAGGTGGGCTGGCCCTAGACTGCAGGCGAGAGTTGAGGTGGAACAGCAGAAGGGAGCCGAGGGGTAGGGGGGCGGGCAAGAGACCGTGAGTGGGCTTGGCGCTGGTGTTAGAGACAGGAGTTGCACAGACAGCCCCTCCGCCCCTGTCCTCACCCACCCCCACCGTCCACTCCAGTCCTCTCCGTGCCTGTCCAGACACCCAGTCTGGTTTGGAGGAGGAGGAGGGGGCCTGAGAACAGACCTGCTTCTCAGAGGCCTGGGTTCGGAACACAGGCCACTCTTCTGGGCTGTGCGGGAAGTGTGTGCTCCAGGGCCTGTCTGGGGCACAGGAAGTCTGCACAGAGCCCGGAGATCAGAGGGAGCTGCCGCCTCGGCTCTGCAGGCACAGAATGGGCCCCTCGGGGAGCCGCGCCCCGGGGTGGCGGCACTGCTGGCATGACCCTGCAGAAGGGCATGGACGGCACCTGGGGGCTGCACGCTGTCTTCCAGGAAGGAGCTGACGGCTGAGGCCCGTGAGCTGAAGGGCGAGCTCTACTGCCTGCCCTGCCATGACAAGATGGGCGTCCCCATCTGCGGTGCCTGCCGCCGGCCCATTGAGGGCCGAGTGGTCAACGCGCTGGGCAAGCAGTGGCACGTGGAGGTGAGCCAGGCTGGCGGGCACGTGGCCTCAGGTTGGGGGTGCCCCAGCTCAGGGTCACGGTGAGAGCAGAGCCCTGAAGCCCTTCACACTCCCAGCCCAGGCTGCGTGGCTGGCTCCCGGCGAGGCCCTTCCTCTGGGGCACTGCCCCTCCTTGTGCTCAGCCGGGGACACCAGCCTGCCCACGGGAGCCGGGAGACCCGAGTGCACACACATGGTTGGGTAGCTGTGCCCACCTCTCCTCTTCCCCCTGCGGGCATTCTAAGAGACTCCAAGCTCAGGAGAAAACCTTGGGGGCAGTTTGCCCAGGGTGCCCTGGGGGTTGTGGTTGACAGAACCCACTATGTGGACAGCCCTGTGCAAACACGGAGTTGAAGAGTTCCTCAGGTGTGAGCACTGGGTCACCTGGAGTGCCCCCGCTGGGTGGTGGGCTCCCATGTTCTCATGGGTACACTGGGATCGGTGAGCCCACCACCCTCCCTGATGACCTGGCCAGCGCTGTGTCCAGAAGCTGTGTTGGGTGGCAGCTGGGGTGGGAGGCCATGCCGTCCTGCCCTGACGCAGGCCCCAGCCCCCAGCCCTCATCCTCACAAGCAGATCCCTGGAGGAATGCAAGGTGCTGCTCAGTGACCCCAGGCTTGCAGGGGGTGCCTGCAGAGGCCCCACGTGGACAGGCTGGGCTGCCTCTGCCAGCGAGGGCCCACCATGCCACAGCACGGGGCTGGCACCTGACTCCTGGGGCTGAGGCTGCCGAGGGGGAGGCCAGACTGGGAGGGGATGGTGACTAGCAAGGTTCCCATCGGTCTCTTAGAGGAGGGGTGGGGTCTGCTGACCCCAGGGCGTTCACAGAGGTGTCAGCCCTCTCTGCCCAGTGTGAATCCTGAAGGGCCTCCACCTGCCCAGACTCTGCTTCCTGTCCCCTTCTGTCACTGCTGCCTCCTGGGGTCACCGCTGTCCCCGGGTCACCACTGTCCCTTGGGGGTCACCGCTCTAGCCCTGATGCCGCCCGGCCCGCCCTCTGTCCTCGCAGCACTTCGTCTGCGCCAAGTGTGAGAAGCCATTTCTGGGGCACCGGCACTTTGAGAAGAAGGGCCTGGCCTACTGTGAGACTCACTACAACCAGGTGAGCTCGGCGCAGAGCCCTCAGGGACGCGCATCGGGAGGGGTGGCCAGGAGAGCTGCCGTGAGCAGGGGAGGCTGTGGGCACCCGCTCAGGAGCTCTGCCAGGTGCTGAACCCAGGCCTGCACCCTCAGCCCTGGTTCCTGGCCTGGGGTCTCGAGACCCAAGCAGCTCTCTCAGCCTCAGTGTCTTCCTCTGAAGAATGTTCCGGGGCTGGTGTGAGGTCCTGGGCACACGGGGCTGACAGTGCCAGCAACCCCCTCCCTCCCTCCCTTGCTCTGGTACAGAAGGTGGGGGGGCTGATGGGACGCGGTCACCACCTGGGCCCACCTCCTCGCAGGACAGCAGCAGCCAGAGGAAAGGGGCCTTCTGGGGAGCAATGGCCCAGCCTGTTGTCCTTCCCGGGGCGGGGGGTGGTTCTAATGGGTTGCAGTGCCCTCAACCCAGTCTCACAGCTGGGCCCTGGGAAGCAGGGCCTGGGAGATGCCTGAGAGGGGCCGTGTGGGAGGGCCAGGCCGGCTGCATGATGGCCCTGGGCTAGGGTGTGACTGCCTGCAGCCGCTCTGACAGCCTGCTCGGCCCACAGCTCTTCGGGGACGTCTGCTACAACTGCAGCCATGTGATTGAAGGCGATGGTGAGGCCCTGTGTTCCCTCCCCCACCCCACCGGCTCTCCTGGGGCCTGGGTGCTGCAGCTGTGAGCCCAGCTGCGCCTGTGGCAGCCTAGCCAGCCCTGCTGAGTCACATGCTTCCCTCACAGTGGTGTCGGCCCTCAACAAGGCCTGGTGTGTGAGTTGCTTCTCCTGCTCCACCTGCAACAGCAAGCTCACCCTGAAGTGAGTCCTGTGATCGTGGGATGGGGCTCAGGGTGGAGGGGGCTCCTGCGGGTCCTTCCTTTTAGCAGCCCTCCTGCACACCAGCTGGGTCTGGCCTGGGGATATGGTGGGGACAAGGGGCACCCCAGCCCCATACCACCCAGTGAGATGGGGGCAGGTCTGGGGGTCCAGGGACCCCAGGGCACGGTGAGAGGAGGAGGAACACTTGTGCCTCCAACACACCTGCCAGAACCCTGGACTCTGGGGAGGGACGGGCGTTCCAGCCCAGGGAACAGCATATGCAAAAGCAGCAGTGTCAGCTGCTCATCCAGGAAGCCTCAAGGGGTGTGGGATGGCTGGAGTTGGGAGTGGAGAAATGGTGTCCAGGTTTCCAAGGGCTGTGGGGAGGCAGAGGGTTCTGGGGTGTCAGAACCTGAGAGAAGCCTCTGGGAGGGAAGGGCAGCCTCAAGGCCCTTTTCATCCCTATGCTCTCTGGTCAGGTCACCCTACGGCCTGGCCTGCTGGCTGGGAGAGGCTGGTGTGGGGAGGCCCACTCCACGGTCACCTGTCTGGGTTTAAAGGGATGGGCGTGGGGCTCTGCTGACAGCTCTGCTTCCTCACCAGGAACAAGTTTGTGGAGTTCGACATGAAGCCCGTGTGTAAGAGGTGCTATGAGAAGTTCCCGCTGGAGCTGAAGAAGCGGCTGAAGAAGCTGTCGGAGCTGACCTCCCGCAAGGCCCAGCCCAAGGCCGCGGACCTCAACTCTGCCTGAAGGCCCTCTTGCACGGCCGCCTCTCGGCCCCTCCGCCTTCTCCCCTCCCGCTGTCCATGCTCAGCCCCCTCGGCCCGGTCCACCTGCGCCTTCCGCACCTTACCCTCCCCTTCTCCTTCCTCATTGCCTCCTCCCTTCCTGTTCCCTCATCTCTGCCTTCCCCATGTCTCTCTTCTCCTTGGCTGTGGCTTCCCTCTGTGAGGCAGGAGTGGGAGCCTGTGACCCCACGTCTGACAGCCACGGCCACCTGTGCCCACAGCTTCCGCCCACAGACCTCCAGGGACAGGAGCAAACTGCACCACAGTTCCCCGCGTGGCCCCGGCTGGCCCTCCCCAGGTGGCTCGGTGGCTCGTGCTGTCCTGTGACAGCCCCTGCCCCAGAGCAGCCCCACTAAGTGCATGTGGCTCCTGGGCCACCCACAGCCAGGGCAGCCTGCTGGAGCCACGGGGCCAGGGCCACGCAGATGGAGGCCTCTAGGAGCCACCTGCAATCCCTCTCCACTCATTCAACCAGTGGCACAGTGTCCCTGTGCCCACACTGAGCCAGCAAGTCCTGCTGTCCACACCCACAAGCGCCCTGGAGGGACAGGACCCACCTCCATCCCTTGGAAGGCCTTCCTGGAGTCCCACCTTGGCCACCCCCACACCCAGCTTGGGGCTTGTGTTAAGCCTTTGGGTTGGGCCAGGGTCCAGGAGGTGGTGGGGTCGCAGGTGGCTTGTTAGCACTGCCAGGGAGGACGCGTCCTCTGCGGCCGGCGCAGACCTGGTGCTGGGCTCACGCTTGCACAATGAAGGCTTGTTCACACGACCACAGCAGTCTGCGTGGTTTGTGGCAGGGGTGGGGAGTGGAGGGGATGGCAGCGGCTGTGAACACACTGCTGCTGGGGCAGTTGAACAGAGGGACAGACATCAGACAGACAGGCACGAGTTCAGGGGGCCCTAGCCTCTATCCCAGGCCAGGCTGCCATAAGGGGTTGAAAACTAGCCCTGCCAGGACCTCACAAGCGTGGGTGGCCAGGTCCACATTAAGCTGTCCCAGTGGGCAGAGGAGGGGTGGGAAGGGACAGGACATGCCAGGGAGTGGGGGGAATCCAGGCCTCCAAGGTGCTATATCCAGCTCTGGCCACTGTCTGGGCACAAGCTGGCCTCAGCATGAAGCCAGCAGCCAGAGAGCCGCACCTCCACCCCGGCCTCCTGGGTGCCGCGGGTAGCGGGTGGCGGGTGGCGGGCGGGGATGACAGAAGGTGTGAGGAGGGGCCTGGGAGGAGGACTCTCCCATGAGTGCCCCTCCCCAGTCTGAGAAACAGGAAGGAAGGGAGGGGGAGGAAGGAAGCAGAAAGAGGGGGGGATGAAGTCATTCCTGGAGAATGCAGCTGCCCTCCCAGTTCCCTGGGAAAGTCGCAAGGCATTTTGCTTTCCCTGCGGCTCTCTGCAGGCCAGAGCCTCCCAGGCCCCATGTCCACCTCGTGCCACACCCTGCCCCCTCAGACACACTCGCTTCTCCTGCCCCAGGGGTTTTTACTGAACATTCTGGTGGGCTGGGGTTGCGGGGGGGGTCCTCTCAGCCATCCACCAACAGCCTGGGGGTCCGAGACTCCCGACCCACGCTGGGTCTTCTCACCTCCATATGCAGCGCCCAGTACAGAGGGGGCCACCTGCGGGGCTGAGTGGGCTTGTATGGGGGGCAGCATGGAAGGCTGCCTGCCGAGGACAGGCCCTGGGCTGAGAGGGCCTGGGAAGGTGCTGCCAGGCTGGAGGTTGACAGGGTGCCTGAGCAGACACGCCAGCATCCGCTGCTAGGCACTGGCCAGGGCTGGGGCCTTGGAGCCCCACTGCTTGTTCATGGCACTCAGGAGCTGCTGCACATATGAGGTCAGCAGGTCGTCCATCTTGTAGCCCTGGACAGGGGACAGGGTGGGTCAGAGGTTGTGGGTGCAGAGGGCAGGTGGGGGTCCTGGACTCAGGGACCACCTTCTCTTCCTCAGCACCCAGCGGTGCAGGGCATGGAGAAAGGGCAGGCGGGCTCCTGCCGTTGGCACCGTCATTTCTGCCTGCCCTGCTGGGGCTAGGTCTCCCTCCCGCCTCAGAACGGGCCAAGGGTGCAGCGGCTCCTGCCTGGCCTTGCCACCTTGGCTGCTGGTCCTGGGGATGCACCCAGTCCCCCTCCAGGTCTGCTGGCCCCGCCTGGGCCCTGTGACTAAGCCCTCTCAATGAGCCACTTGAAAGGGGTGAGGGTGGGGAACCCAGTCTCCAGCCGCTCCATCCTGTGCATCCTGGCTGGGAGAAGGGACCGGCGCTCACCAGGGAGGTCTCGCACAGCAGGCGGCTGCCACGGCCCAGGTTCCCCAGCACCACGTGGAAGTAGGTGCTGCCACTGCTCCAGCTGGAGATCTTGGTGAAGGGATAGGTGGTGAGCAGGTCCTGGGGGCGGAGAGGGTGGGTGGGCAGGGTGCCTCCAGAGCCCGTGGGCTGTGTGTGTTAGGGGACAGGAGAGAGGCACGACACACCGCAGAGGTGACTGCAGCCCCACCTGCACGGGTCCCTGGACTTGGTGGCCCCCAGCCCCTCCGGAGGCCCGGCAGCTACCTTGGTCTTGGGGTGGATGAGCAGGACCCCATGTCGGTTGATGGCGATGAGGATGATGTCCGGGTAGGAGGGCTCCGAGGTTTGCTGGGAGGGAGGGACACAGCGGTCCTAGTCCAGCCCAGGAGGCCAGGCTGCACTTCCCAGGAGCTCACCTAGGCCACGTGCACATACACACACACGCCCACACCCTCCAGCCTCGTGGCCAGTCCCACCCAAGATGTGTGCTGGTTGATGCTGGGCCTGCCGGGGCAGAGCTGAGCAGAGCCTGCTTGGGCAGGAGGCCCGGGCGTGGGGCAAGGCCTACCTTCACCTCGAAGAAGGCAGACCCGAAGGTGGGCCAGCGGCAGATCCACTTCAGGAAGGCCACCTTGGCCTCCTCCACTGTCTTGTCCTTGTGCTTGTCATAGGCCAGAAGGATGCTCTGGGGAACAGGAGGGCCAGTAAGGGCCTGGGTGCCGAGGCCCCGCAAAGCCCTGGTGGGGGCAGCACCTGCCTACCCCAGGCCAGTACAGTGGGGTGGGGTGGGGTGGGGTGGGGTGGGGAGGGACGCAGCGCGGGACAGTCTCGGTGGCGCCGTGGACAGCGTGGGAAGGCGTGGTGTGTGCAGAGCCAGCCCACCCTCCACACCACCTGTGTGCACCCATGTGGTCTTGGAGCCCAGGCAGGGCGTGGCACTGGGGCAGGATCCCAGGGAGGAGCAGCAGCCCAGGAACCCTTCCCCAGCCCCGTGAGGGACCTTTTTCCACTCCTCCGAGGACATCAGGCGTGTGAGGTCCTTGGGCACCAGTTCCCTCAGGATCTTGGGGACACTAGCCAGCTGGGACCGGTCGTTGTTGAACTGGGCCTTGTAGATGAGGCCCGCCAGGTGGATGGCGTCCTCCCGCGAACACTTGTGGAACCCGCGCAGGTACTTGGGCAGCTCCTGGGTGGTGGACACACTGGGCATGCTGGGTCTCCGGCCGCGACCCGTACACCCCCAACCTCTTTCCCGCTCAGATGGTGGGGACCTGGGGCTTAGCCCACCCCATCCAGGACGGACTGAGCAGGGTAGAGTTTCAGGCCAGGGGAATGACCCTGAGTCAGGGCAGGCCCCCTGGTATCTGCGTGGAGGTGATGGCCTTGCTCCACCCATGTGGTTGGCCCTGCAGGCCATGGCCACTGTTCCATGGGCCACAGGACCCTCTGTCCCACCCTCCCCAAGTCATGCTGCAGGTGCCAGTGCAGTCACTGTCCCCAAACACTGTTGCCCTCTGCTCCTGGTTCCAGAGCCCTCAGGGGCTTGGTCTGCCCACCACATGGACTGGTACCCAGGGCTGAGGCTGGTCCTGCCCTGGCCTGCTGGCTTCTACAGCCTCAGAACAGGTGTGGGAGGATGGGGGTGGCCCCGGTGGCCACCAGGGCAGCCTGCCCAGTACCTGGTGGTAATGGAGTATGGTGTCCGAATTCACATCCTTCCCCGGGGTGATGTTGAGCCACAGTTTCCGCATGAAGTACACCTGGTAGGGGAGCGTCACGGGGGCCCCTGGGCGAGGGCCAGCAGTGGGCACCAAGCCTGGCCCAGGAGGTGCACCAGCCCTGACCCCCTGGCACCCCCACACTGTGCCTGCCACCTCCCTGCCTGGAAAGCCTCCACCCTTCTTCCTCCCCAGTCCCCCACGTTTTCCTCAGCCTTCAAGATGAGTGTGGAGGCTGCCTTCTCCAGGAATGCTCCCGGACTCCCACCCCCAGCCCATGGGGGTCACGCCCCTCAGCCCTGCGACATCCTTCATCACCCCATGGTGCAGCCACCGGTTCCTGCCTGAGCTGGGAGGCCCTCACCACCAGGCCCCAGGGCCTGGTTGTCCCCACAACCCAGGGACACACAGGAAGGAATGGATGGATGAATGGGCACAGGCCACACGGAGGCCGAACGGTGCCCCCTCACCCCACCCAGCCACACCCTCGCCCAGCTCCACAGAGGCCTCCTCACCTTCTTTCTGGGGCTTGTTCTTCTTCACCCAGTCAGACACCTGCCTCAGGGAATCGAAGAAGAAGTCTCCCTCCTTCTGGCTGATGACCTGGGGAGGGGAAGGTACAGGGACGGTGGGGGGCTGCCAGAGGACTGTCCTCCTGAGAGGGCCCTGCCGGGCTCTGGTCCACTGGCCGCCTACGGCCTGGGTGCTGCACTGGAGTCGGCTGTGCGTGGGCTTTCGGCGTGTGGAGCTGGCTGTGCTCCGGGACCCCACCTACCTCTGTCCCGGCAGCCCTGGCTGTGCAGCCTGGTCCAGCATGGGTGCCCCGGCAGGCCGAGGCCCCCACCAGGCAGCACCTAGGATCCCGCTCACTGCCCGCCCGCCCACCGTCTGCCCAGCCCCAGCGCAGCTCACCTTGTCTGCAATCTTGATGAAGAGACTGCAGCCCTCCCAGGAGGCCAGCTGCAGCCTGGTGGCAATGCTGTCACACACATCCCGCACCCGTGTGTTGGCAACCACCTCCAGCATCTGGACAGAGAGGCGGCTGGTGAGGCCCGGGGCCTGGCGAGGGGCCAGCACAGCCCAGGATGAGCCTTCCTAGCCTGGACCTTTGCTCCTTCATGAAACCTGGCTTGGATGTGGTCTGCCCTGAGCAGAACACACCTCCCTTCCAGAACCCTGGCCAGAGGCTCACGTTGTTCAGTCCCAGCGTTCGTTGCCCTGGGGCCCTGGAGGCCTGGCCTTCTGACTCGCCTTCAGAGCCCAGAGCCAGACTGTGGGAAGTTCCTGTTACTGGGACCCGAATGTCCCCAAGACCAAAAAGGCCACCCTGCTGTTGGAGAGGGCGTGAGGCAACACTGCCCACCTTGGCCTCAGCCCGCTTGTCTTTGCTGCCCCTGGCGAAGGCCTCTGTGTCACGGCTGGGTCCTGGTGGTCTCCCACCTGTCCCCTGTCCCCTTTTTCCCCCAGCAGCCATGGCAGGCTCTGTGCACAAGGCACACACAGTGGGGATACCTGCTCTCCCACACCCCAGCTGGTCAGAAGCCCCTAGGAGCCCCCAGGTCCTGGGACTCACCCTTGCTGCCCACCCCTCTGTCCTCTCCCCCGTGTCCTGGGCCTGGATCCCCCAACTCATACCTTGGGGCTGGCCTGACTTCCAAAGGGTAGGCGGGGCCTGCGTCCCATGGGGAGGGGGCAGGAGACCGGTGAGGATGGGACAGCCCTAGAAAAGGCTCTCCGGGGTTCCCAAGGAGGGAGGGTGCCCCATGGCCTTCGGCGGCCTGAGATCTGCCGTGCAGGCCAGAGCAGGGCCTCACCTCGCTGGTGTCATTGGGGAGGTAGACCTTGTGGCAAATGCGGGAGATGTTCTGCTCTGCGGCCTCCACCTCCGCCTGGTGCGGGGGCTGCTTCCGGGGCCCTGTCCTGAGGGGCACAGCACGTGCTGCAGGTGCCACCCCCACCCTCATCCTCACCCATGCCCCAACCCCAACGTGGGCCCTAAACCATGTGCCAGAAACAAAAGAAAAATAACCCCAGTGACCATCACCCGGGTGGTTCCAGCCCCTCGCACATCCCAGGGGCTGCCCCTGGCTCGCACGCAGCCTCAGAGGCAGCGATGCTGCAGCTGTGCCCGAAAGCCTGGGCCACACATGGGAAGGGCCAGGCCAGGGGCTCCTGGGGAGGCGCCGGTGGGTGAGGCTGGCCGTGTTCTTGTTCTCACACAATAGGGGCATCGGGCAGGGGTCAGGGACTCTGGTAGGGCCTCTCTGGGGCGCCTACCTCCCTCTGTGACCATGGCTGCCACTGAAATCAGCCACTCCCACAGTCAGCCTGCCCTCCTCATGGCCACAGGAGGCCACGCAGAGGAAGCAGGAGCAGTGGGGGAGAGCAAAGACAGCCAAGGAAGAGCTTCCCAGCTGTGGGCGGATGAGGGAGGCTGCATGGACTTGGAAGGACAGGCCTCTAACCTCAGCCTTGAGGGCCTGGGCTGGGGCATCCAGGTCCCCCTCTATCCCCCAGGCAGTGCCTCTGTGCCACTGCTGGGCAGTGGTGGGGCAGGGGAGCTGGTGGCTATGACTGAGCCTTCTCTCCACCCTCCTGGGCCTCATCCTCCACCCTCTTCTCTGGTGGCTCGGGGCCCCATCCTGCCTCCCAAGCTGATGCTGGCTTCTGGAGAGTTCTCTGGGGACCATGAGCTCCTGGAGGGCTGGCCACGCCCCACAGCATCCCAGGGCTGTGGGCCCAGGGTCAACGCTGGGGGCTGGAGGCACTCGGCTCACCTGAGGACCCTCTGGATGCGGCGGCCGCAGTCGGGGGCCAGCAGCTTCCCCCTCCGGGTGTCGATGAACTTTTGGGCATGGGGCAGGAGCCCCTTGCTGGGCGGGAAGAGGCCAGTGCAGAGCCACAGCAGCTGCCAGCCCCGCTCCTCGCTGTGCCTGGAAGATGGCGTTTGTCAGTGGGGAAGGGCTCCTCAGGGGACCCAGGCCAGGCAGGCACCTTGGGGAGCAGGGACGGATATGAGAACTACCTGAGGTCTAGAGGGCCCGAGGGGAAGGGCACCAGCCAAGCTGCACCATGCCAGCTGTGCCCGGCTGCCTGATGCCACGGGCTTTTGCACCCTCAAAATGGGGGTGGGTGGGCATTGCACCCATTTTGTGGAAGAGGACACTGAAGCCCACAGAGGCCATGGCCTGCCAGGTCACACGCATGAGGTGGGAGCAGGCAGGGCCGTCCTCTCCTGCTCTGACCGCCCCTAGGACATCAGCAGAGCAGACCAAGGGCCCCAGCCCTTCCCACTGCTGATGCAGGTGCCCAGATGGGGGTTCCGCCGCCACGAGCTGCGGTGTCGCCTCTGAGCCTCGGTCTGGCCTCAGGGGCTGGGATGAGGACTGAGGGTGACAGCGCGGGCCGGCCGCCGCCCCAGCAGACCTGTTGGAGTTGTGCGTCAGCTGCTTCAGGAGCTGGCAGTAGACCTCGTCCTGCAGGGCCGGGTGCTGCAGGGCCAGCGTGAAGATCTGGTCGGTGAGCTCCAGGCTGGGCCGGGCCTGCCGAGAGGGGTAGTCGCCCATGTACCGGAGGATGGGTGTGGCTGTCAAGGAGCACGGTGCTGGGCCGGCCCCACGCTGACCACAGACTGGGGATAGATGCCGACCCCTGACCCCAGCCCTGCGGTGAGCCACTTGTGGGCTCTGTCCCGCCACTCTGGGTTTCTCAGACCTCCTGGGCTCTTCTGCCCTAGAGCACAGCTGTAGGGCCAGGAGCTGCCAGGTGCCTCTGCCCTGGGGTTGACAAGGCGCAGGCAGGCTGGTGGGGAAGGATATCGACAAAGATCTGGCAGGCGATGTCCCAGAGGTCAACGTTGGCGTGGACTCGCTTGAGCAGCGGCTGTCGCAGCGGCTCGGAGGAATAGGCCCACAGGTGGCCGCGGGCACGGGCCAGGGGCAGCACGGCCATGCTCACTGTATCCTTCTCTGGAGCCCTGTGAGTCAGAGGCTGGCATGAGGCCTGCCCTGTGGCCTTCTCTGTCCCACGCCTCTCTGTCCTCTGACACCCCTGGGTGGCTGCGGGAGGGCCAGAGCACCCCACCCTGCCGCAAGCCCCTCCTGACTCCCCTGGCCTGGGGAGGCCAGGCAGGCTCCACATGGGTGGCGTGGCCTCTCTGCAGCCCTCGGTGGGTGCAATGAGGTGGGGCGGGGCTGGGAGCGGGGGTGCAACGGGGCGGGGCGGGGCTAGGAGCAGGGGTGCAATGGGGCGGGGTGGGGCTGGGAATGGGGGTACAATGAGACGGAGCGGGGCTTGGGGGGCACCTGAAGAACTCGTAGGAGAACTCCTCCAGGGTGTGCGGCTTTTCCTTGGGTGGCTCCTCGGGACGTGGCTCTGCGAGCTGCCCCTCCTGAGCCGCCAGTTTCCTCTTCTCTGGTGACATGGTGAGCAAGCTCTGGAGGGGGCACAGGCCTGTGGGTGCCCAGGAGCCACCGCCCATGAGGCCCTTCCTGCAGGCTCCTCCCAGCCCGGCGGCCTCAGTGACTTGGGAGGGGCCAGGCCCAGGGCTGGACAGGCCAGGGCTCACCCACACCCGTCACCTGCCGTGTGACCCAGGACCGTGACTCTGCTTCTCGGTGCCTCTCTCCTTTCCCTCGGGAGGATGAGTGCCAATGGCTGTGGCACCCACATCACCTGTTCTGGGGGCCACGGCACTCTGGTTTCTCAGACCCCCAGCTCCCCTTCTCCATGGGGCCCCCTCTCACCCCAGCCCTACCTTCCTGGTCTGCCACCAACTTCAGGCCTCAGCACAAATGTCCCTCCCTCAGGGATGCCTTCCCAGACAGGGTGAGCTCCCCACCCTATTATTTATCCCTCTGCTTGGTGGCACTTTACACAGTTGCCATCCAGGCATCATTATCTGCCCAAATGTCTGCCCTGAGCGTGGAGCTGCTATTGTGCCCAGACTCATACCACAGGCACAGGGCACATACTCGGCACTCGGTATGTCCATGTTGCAATGCCTGCCGTTCCTGTCTCCCGAGAGCCTGGTCTTGGCTGGGGTGGGTGGTTCCCTTGTGCGGGGAGAGGCTTGGGCCCCCTTGGGTCAGAGTGTAAATGAGGCAGAGAAAGATTGGGTTTGTCCCCAGGACACACCCATGATGGAAGAGGGAGGGAACACCCATTTATTGAGCGCCTACTAAGTACCAAGAGCTGGACTGGCTGGCACTGCACACGCACCTTGCCACAAGAATGGTTGAGGGCTGCCCAGGTGGCCCTCCTGGCCTCTGCTAGGTGGGCTGCAGGGCCTGAACTAGGCCTCCTGACTAGGCATCCCGGGACCGCTCCACCCTGCCCTCGGGTACCCAGGCTGAGGACAAGGGAGCGTGCCAGTTACCAGCAGCTGTGCCGAGGGCTTAGTGACCGTGGGGATGGTGTAGAGGCAGGCCGTGGGCACCAGCCCCGTCTTGCCTGTCCTGTCGTTCTGGCCGAGGGTCCAGTTCTCAGAGGCCAGCAGCCCCTGCTTCTTTGTCAGGACCAACAGGTCCCCCTTTTTGAAGGCCAGGAGGGTGGCGTCATCTGTAAGGGTAGGGAGGCTGCCATTTGCTGAGGGCTCTGCAGGGGCCAGAGGCTGTGCTGGCATTTTGGGGGTCATCTCCCTTGATGGATGAAACAGAGGCACAGAGTGGTGGGCAGAAGACCACTCCAAGAGTGAGCAATGGTGGGACTGGAACCTCAGGGGCCTCAGACGGCTGTCACCTGCTACAGCTGCACAGGCACAGAGCCCAGGGTGGGCGGGCGCTCGAGAGCTCTGACTGCAGCCCTAGCCCTGGGAGACCCTCGGAAGGCTGACCAGGAGCCAGGGATGAGGGAGGGGAGGATGCACAGGCTGGCAGTCCCCACGCCTGGCCTGAGTGCTGCCTGCCTCTCTAGCCCGCTTCCTCATCTGGAATTTGGAGATGGCAATCCTCTTTCCCTCGTGCCGTGGCCGTGAGTACTGAATGGGGCAACAGGGCAGCACATCTCAGCTGACGTTTCTCACTGCCCAAAGACCCCACGCACAGCCTCTTCTGCTGCATCCCAACCAGCACCCCCTTCTGAAGCCCCTGCACTAACTGCACCACCCACTGCCCATGACTGCCCCGCCAGCAGCCTGGGCCAGCAGGGGTCCTGGGGCTTTGTTATGCTCCCCCACAGCCCACAGACACAGCCCAGCTCGCTGGAGTGCTGGCTTGCAGGAGAGCTGCGGCCAAGAACTAGGCTCCCACCCCCTTGAGCTGTGTGACCCTGGGCGAGCTACCTCCGTCTCTGGGCCTCTGGCCTCGTGCCTGTAAAATGGGATAATAGGGTGCTTCTGCGGCAGTGCACTGTGGGGATGGTGTTCAAAGCTTCCCTGGGCTGGAGGCTGGCCCCTCTCGGTGCTTTTGCAGCCGTGCAGCGCTGAGCATGGCTGGCCTTGCGGGGCTGGAGACCACCTCCTTTAGCCCCTCATTTTGTAGAAGAGGAAGCAGTGGCTGAGAGAAGGTAGGGCCTGGTCTAAAGCTGCCCCCACAGAGCTTTGGGGCCCGCCCTCCCTCTGCTTGCCTTGCGGCTGCCGTGTGTGGAGATGAGCACGCCGCCTCCCTACAGACCCCACGCGCAGCCCTCCCCCCACCCCACCCAGTCTGGCACCTGTGGCCTTCCTGTCCTGCAGGGCCATGGCGAACACGGACCTCTCCTTCAGGCCCTCCAGGAACAGGGCCACCAGCTCAGCGATGGCCACGCTGCTGGGCGACACAAACTCGTACTCCTCATGCATGGTGGAGAGCAGCAGCCTCTGCCTGCCCTGGGCCTCCCTGGACACAAAGGGCAGCGTGACCAGGAACCCCCTCCACCTCCCTGTGATCCAGCCCCTCAACAGCCTCAGGAGGTGGGACTGGGGGTCCTGGGTCACAGATGAGGACACAGAGCTGCTCTACCAGGGCCAGGACCAGGCCAGACACCACTGCGGGTCTGGACAAATGAAGGATGGCGGGACACAGGGCCCCTCAGAGGCTGCAAGTGGTGCAGCCCGTGTGTGGGGTCGGCTCTGGGCAGATGATGAGGTGGCCGGTGTGCAGGGACACCACAGGGACGCTGCAAAGATCAGAGCTGAGCTGAGTCGGCGGCTCTGCCATGTGCTAACTCTGAGCCACCTAGCCTCGGCGTGCCACAGTTTACTCATCTGCAGAACGGGTGATGCTGTCAGGACTTCGTGGCATACAGGAAAGTACCCAGCACGGACAGCCTCAGTGAGAGGTGGCCAGTGGGGAGTGGTGGCCACTGTACACCTGGCACAGCCCAGAGATGCGTGTGCCACTCTGTCGTGTGCTTTAACCAAGGGGCACTCTGGCAGGGCTTGGGTGGGACTTCCCAGAAGGCATGAAAAAGTTCCCAGTCAACGAGAGCCATGGAGACCCCTGGGAGTGGGGGTCAGCCCCAGCCTAAGAGGCCCCCCTGCCCTGCCCTGTGCCCCGGGACACACCAGGCACTGTCCCTTGCCGCTGTCCCAGACAATCTGTACCCTCCAGGCCACCAGTTCTCGTCCATGACAAAGAAAGGAGCCTTCTAAATAAGTGCACACCAGAGGCTGCACGCTTCTGTGCCCTTTCCGGGTGGATCTGGGTTTCAAAGAGAAGCTGCGAGTGCAACCGTGATGCTCCAACGGAGTACTTCGTGGGCAGTGCAGCCTGGTGCGGGAGGGTGGGGCTCCCAAGTACAGAGGGCATCGTATACGTTGATTCTTGTTCCACCCTGGCCTGTCACCCGGGAGTGCACGCTGCCCCTCTCCCCATCTCTCCCTGAGCCCCCAGATGCATCAATCCAAGGACTCAGGGTGTGAGGAGATCTGCCCTCAGGGCCCCCACCTGTTGGCAACCAGACCCATGACCTCTGGGAAAGAGAGCTCCAGCAGCGTCTTCTCCCGCTGGTCCAGGAAGCAAAGCCCCTTCCAGTTAACAGCTAAGATCAGCTGCGTCTTGGGCAGGCGGGGGCCTGGCCAGGAGAGACGGCAATGTGAAGGCTGCATGGGATCCCTGGGTGCCCAGCCCATACCCGCTCCCCGCCCCCCGTCAGATGCCATTACCTGAGAGTGTGGTGACTTCAAAGAGCCGGGAGAAGAGCAGCGGCCACTGCAGGCAGGCGGCGTCCACCACCTGCTCTCGCACGGCCAGTGGTGTGGCTTGCCTCTCAGCGTATGGGGCCTGAGAGGGGGATCCTGGATGTCACCTCCATCACCTGCCTCCCCAGTGAATCCCTCACCCAGTGCTCAGGGTAAAAGAGTTGGTGGATCCTTCTGAGAAGCCTCTACTTAAAGCGAGGCCAGTGCCTGGAGACGGATCCTGCAAGGAGGGACCTGGGACGTCCCCAGGGACTGGCGCAGCCCTAATTTTTTTTTTTTTTTTCTTTTTTGAGACAGAGTCTCACTCTGTCACCCAGGCTGGAGTGCAGTGGTGCGATCTCGGCTCACTGCAAGCTCCGCCTCCCGAGTTCAAGCAATTCTCCCGCCTCAGACTCCTGAGTAGCTGGGACTACAGGCGCGTGCCACTGCGCCTGGCTAATTTCTGTAGTTTCAGTAGAGACGGGGTTTTGCCATGTTGGCCAGGCTGGTCTCAAACTCCTGACCTCAGGTGATCCACCTGTCTTGGCTTCCCAAAGTGCTGGGATTACAGGCGTGAGCCACCGTGCTGCCCTATTCTACCTGGGAGGGGTGTGGGGACCCGTTAGGAGGAGGGAGGAAAGCCGTTCCCTGTCCCCTCATTAGCATCTGTAGGGCGGGGCTGCGCTAGCTGTGGAAGGCGCTGTCTGTGTGCCCCAGCCCAGGCTCGCTCTTGCCCGCCTATGCCTTGTGGGTCTGTGACTCGCTCTGTGCAGGAGGGCATCCTGCTCCGAGTCTGTGTCCCGGGCGCTTCTCTCTTCTTCTCTGGAGCTCTGCTTTGTCTCTGGGGGCCTCTCTCGGGGACCACCTCTAGTTCCTTGTCTTCCAGTTTCCTTCCTTCCTCTTTCCTGATTCCCTGCCTTCACCCGTTCCTCTCCCCAGCACCACTGTGCTGTGTCCATCAGCGACCATAATATCCAACCGAACTTTCTTTTCACTGTTTGTCGAATACAGTGTTATTTCTTTAAAAAGTGGCTACTATTCATATACTGACTTTGGGAATGTAATAAATGCATCAAATCTGAAGGGTGATCTGAAAATATTCGACATGTATCAAATGTTTAGAATGTCCATACACTCTGGCCTGGGGGGGTTCCCATGCACCCAGCGAGGGGATGCTAAGGCTCAGGGGCAGGCAGAGGGGCCCCCAAGGCCATGGCATGGTCAGCAGTCAGCCACTGCGGGTGCCCTCTCGTGCCGAGAGGCCAGGGCCTGGCCAGACACTGCAGTGCAGACCAGCACAGGGACCCATCCAAGATGCCAGCTTGGAAGGAAGAAGGTGGCATGGGCCTGTGACAGAGAGCTGAACTGAGTGGACTGCTTAAACTTGAAGGGACGAGGCTCTACATAACTGTCAAGCTGAAGCTTGTTGTTCCCCGGGGGTGGGGACTGTGCGGAGGGAATCCATCCGCTCTGTACACCACAAGCCCCCCACCGCCTGAAGGAGAGCCCTCGGCTGGGTGCCTGAGCGGCATGCAAGCTGACCTTGGCGCAGGCGGCAGTGACGAGGCTCGCCCACCTGTCCGGGGGCTTGGTCCTGTACAGCCTGTGGGGGATGCAGCTGGGCAGCAGCTCCTGGACAGCCTTGCTCTCCGCTGAGGCGCCGAGCTGTACGTAGCAGTGCCGGGCCAGCAGCTGCACCAGCTCTTCCTCCTGCACAGCCCAGGGCACCCACGGGGACGAGTGAGAGGAGGAAGGGCTCACCCTTCCCCAGGATGCCCCTGACCCGTGGCAGAGCTCCTGCCCCAGCACAGGGGAGCTAACCTGCAGCTCAGGCAGGACCTTCCCCCTCCCTGCGTGCCCTGACTGGGTCACCACGCAGGCCGGGAATCCCAGAGGCCTCGGCCCGAGCCCCACAGGCCCTCTGCCTGAGGACAGCGGCTGCTGTTCAGTTCTGGGATGAACCCCGGCAGGGTGGCTCTGAGGGGCAAGGTCCTTCCCCATCAGAGCTCCAGTCCTCGCTTGTCAAGAGAGACCAGCGGCCACCCCCGTGGAGTTTCTGCCGGGGCTCAGCTGGACGGGACCCGAGAAGCCCCTTCCCGCTGGAAGCCCAAAGCCTCGTGGAGCCTGGTGTCCCGTCACTCCCTGCCCACGCCTCTTCCACGTGGGCTTCCTGCGCTGCTGTGGCTGCCTCCCATGGGTCCCCGAACAGCATCTTCCTGACTCGGCACAAGGAGGTTGTCTGCTGCCCCCAGAACTACAGGGGCACAATCACTCCGCTTTCTCACAATCACTCTACAACAGAGCTCCCGGTACTCTCTGCACAGGCCAGGTGACGGCCCCTCCCGAGCCCCCCGTCAGATGAGGGCCCGAGGCTCAGCAGTGACAGGACTCTCCAAGCTCACGATGCCAAGAAGAGGGGGAGCTGGGCCTCAGGCATTAGGGCTCCAAGGCCACGTTCTCGACCACCAGGTCTCACTGCCCCATAAACAGAGCAGGAGCGGTGAGGCCAGGCAGGCCTGGGTCCTCTGGGACCTGCTGCCGGAACCACGGACCCCGGAGGCTTAGACAAACCTGTGGCCTAAGGGAGGAGGAAACACAGGCTGGGCCTGGTAGGGACCTGCACCCTTGTGACCCCCTTTCCTGGCCCCCGTTCCTCTGCCCTTGGCCTCCTGCCCCTCTGCCTTCTACCTGGCCTCAGAAGCCAGTTGGGTGCCTCCTGATGGCAAAGCCCAGCGTGGCCCTGGCTCTCAGCCCCTCACCTTCTCGAAGCTGTATTCGCCAGACCAGACTCCGTGCAGGACTTGGCGGTAAATGAGCTCAGTGCTAACGGGGTCCTCCCGGGAGTCGTGCCAGGGGGCGAAGAATTCCTTCCGGAAGTAGATGCGCCAGGGTGACTGGCGCTGGCTCTCACCCCTCTCCTGGGCCAGCTGCTCACACTGGGCGATGGCATCCATGACGTGGTCACGCCCACTGCCCAGGGACCAGAACTGAGGCCAGAGTCGGGGAGCGGGGGTTAGCAGCTGTTGCATGTTCCACCCCGTGGGGATGCCCACCCCACGGGGATGCCCACTGTCAGCATGTGCAGGTGGAGGACAGGGCCTGGGGCCCTTGGAGCCCAGCACGGGCTGAGTGGACACTGCTGAGCCCATGTAGACAACTGAAGGGCTTCTCCACACAGCAATGGCCTGTCTGCCACTCCCCATTACTCTCCCTGCAGCCCCTTCCCTAAGAAGGCAGACGTAAGTCTGGCCGGTATGACTCGGCCTTGGGTGCCTTGGTTGGCAGACTGGTGTGTGTCTGAGTCTGAGGGTGTGGAATTGGGGGTGCCTGTGTGGGCGGTGAGGGTCTGTGCTGGTGTGACCCTCCGTGTTTGCTGCAAGGGTGTCCACAGCTCCTGGGCATGAGGGAATTTGGAGCAGGAGACTGGTGTGAGTGCCTGATGTCTGTGTGTGGCAGCTGCGTGGGGACCAGGTATGCACGTGGCACTGCTGGGGCTGAGGTGCAGCTGTGAGGTGACCATGTGAGTGTGGGAGGACAGGCTGCTTGCTGTGTGTGTGTGTGTGTGTGTGTGCACCTGCCTGTGCCTGGCGGCTGGGAGGGCAGGCGGTGGCCGGGCTGGATAGGTGAAAGGGGTTGAGCCTCGGGGTGCCCTCCCTGGGTGTATGAGGGAGGCGGGTGATGGGCAGGGTGCCTGGCCAGTACCTTGTCGTACACGGCGACCTGGAGGGAGAAGCCCAGGTGGTCGCTGAGGCCCTGCTTTTGAGCGATGTGCATGCACACTTCCCGAGATGTGGAGGCTGAGTCCACAGAGACGGTCAGGCTCTCTCCAGTGGCCAAGATGACTTGGATGGGGATGTGCTTCTTGGACTTGACAGCCTGGGGACAGATGAGATTCAGTTCCCCGGCCTCTCGGAACCTATGGACAAGAGGCCGGCCCCCCATCCACCACCTCCCTCCTCTCCCCAGTCCATGGGCCCTGCTTGCCATCCCGTGGGTTCCCGGGGGTGGGCCCTCTGAAGCCCCAGGCCATGGGCTTGGCATAGAAAACAAAATTCAGGCCAACAGGTGTTTGCTGCTGGGAGCACAGCCACCAGGCAAGAGCAATGTTAGTCACAGGCGTCCAGGTCCTCCTGGACCTCCAGCGGGGGCAGCCTCGGGCCATAGTGGCTGCTTTTATGAGAATCCTGAGTTTGGTGTGGTTGAGTGACTTCACCTCACAGAAGACCCGCAGCTCTTGGGAATCCGAGTCCAAGACGCGGGAACATTTTGGGGCCTTTATGTATTGTCCCTTGTGTCAACATGCACAGCTACTGCAAGTTCACCTACAATTCCAGGGCTCATGGGAGGGAGCCCCTGTGGGCTCGGGGGCAGGGTGAAAACAGAAAGAAGGTGCAGCGGAAGTGACCCGCAGCTCCTGGTCTAGGGCACCTCAGGCCACAGGGCAAGCACCTGCCAGGGTTAGGCTGGGGCCAGAGCTTTGTGTAGAGCCGGGTGCAGGGGTGCCCTCGCCACCCTGGCTGGCTGTTCTGAATGACCTTTCCTGAGAAAATAGCGAGAACTCACAGATGACACAGTTGCCAAAGCAGGTTGAGGTGGCACATGTGCCCAACAGCAGTGCCACTAAGGATGCCAACCATGGTGTGACCACGGCCCTTGTCACCAAGTGAAATGCCCTTGGAGGGGACAGCTGGAAGCGGCTGGTGCACTGTAATGCTAATGAATGGGTTCGGTGATCCTCCCCTTAGCTAGTGGGGCCCTAAAGGAATATGGATTCGGAGATGGGGGCCACGCCTGGGGAGACTGAGCCCCAGGGGCACTCACAGGGACCACTAGCATGGGAGGTACCGCAGAGGAGATGGCAGGGCTCGGAGGACAAAGTTCTGTCCTAGAAGAAGGCACCCCATGAGCTATGTGGGGGGTCCCTGGGGGCCTGCCCCACCCCACCCTGCCAGCTCCCACCCCTGCCGGCCCCTACCTGCAGTTCCAGCCAGGTGGGGGGCTCTGCACGCACCCCATTGGCATAGGTGCGTCTCAGGCGCTCGGCACAGAAGGGGCCATAGGTCGCCGGCCCTTGGCCGATGAAGTTCAGTAGATACTGGTAGATGAGGAGGGGAGAAGGGAGGAAGACACTCAGAAAGGACGCCAGTTTCTACTCACTGCCCAGGTGGACTTAATTCTAACACTCAGTGTGTAAGGCACAGTGAGGGGCAACCTCACACCTGTGAGAAGGCACATGGATCAGTGTGTTTCTGAGGAACAGCGGCAACACGTTTCAAACGGCACATAGTCTTGACGTGTGCACACTCTTTGTTGCAACAATGCAGGCCTATCCTAAAGGTGGATGTGTGGTTTTTGATCATGGTGGCATCTATGGAGACGAATGACTGGAAGATGAACTCTAAGTGCCCACTCACAACTCCAGTGCCTTCTGGAACAGAGAGGCCTCAAGCTGGCGTCTGGGAGGCAGATACCATGAGAAAACATAATGAAGACAGTAAATGAAAAGTGCAGGGCCAGGCACAGTGGCTCACGCCTATAATCCCAGCACTTTGGGAGGCCAAGGGGGGAGGATCACCTGAGGTCAGGAGTTTGAGGCCAGCCTGGCCAACATGGTGAAACCCTGTCTCTACTAAAAATACAAAAATTAGCCTGGTGCGGTGATGTGCACCTGTAGTCCCAGCTACTCTAGAGGCTGAGGCAGGAGAATTGCTTGAACCCAGGAGGCAGAGGATGCAGTGAGCCGAGATTGCTCCACTGCACTCCAACCTGGGTGACACAGTGAGATTCTGTCTCAAAAAAAAAAAGGCAAAAGAGTCCATGTCCCAGACATGTTCAAGAAAACGCATTGAAGCTCTTTTTGTGTCACAGAAAGATGTTGTTTCTTCTGCCTTGGGGTGGGGAGGGACAGCCTGGAAGGGTTTACTGGTGTCAGGAGCAGCCTGAGTGCCAGGTACAGATGGCCTCAGTGACCGTGGCTCCTGCTGTCCCCCAAGGGGACATGTGAGAAAGTGTTTTCTGTTTGATCATAAGAACCCTGTAACACCAGGAAAGACCAGAAGAAAATATTAATAGGAAGTTACCTCTGTGTGTGGGGATGGATCTTTTGGCTTTAGATGTTCTGGATTTTCACATTTTAATTTTATAATCAGAATTTAAAGGTATATCAAATCAGTGAAGCTTGGGGCTACTAACACTCGGCCAGCCCACCTCCATTTTCAGTCCTAAGAACTAGAAAGAGGCGCCGAGGCCCATCTCCAGGCAGGGCCCACTCCTGGACACCTGTCTTTTCAAGGCCCGTGTCATCTACCTTCTCATTTTAGTCTTGAAGTGCCATCCTGGCACCTGAGCCAAAGTGAAATGACCCTGCAGACCCTGCATAGGGGCTGGAAGAAGCCAGGAGCAGGGTCCTCTTTTCCAGACGGGGAAACTGAGGCCTGTAGAAACACAGGCACGGCTGCCCATCTGTCCTGCAGGAGCAGGAGAAACGGGCCACGGACTGGGATTTGTGGACCTGCTCCAGGGCCAGGGGCTACCTATGCTCCCACCGTAACCTGCCCCCTGCCCGCCCTCCTGGACCCTCTCACCTTCATGAACCTCTCTGAGGGTGGGAAGCAGCCGAGGCAGAGGCTGAGCAGGATCCAGCCCCGCGCCACACTGCTTGTTTTGAAGTTCTCTGAGAGCTGCTTGCAGATTTGGCAGTAAATCTCATCCCTGAAAGACACAGACCATTGGGAGAGTAGGCTGGGGGCTGGAGAAGGAGAGGAGACAGGGGTACCTGGGCACACAGCTCTTCTGCACCTCTGGGGGGTCCCATAGGCAGGGCACCTCTCCAGCACTGGGGCCCTGCCCAGCCTCCTCTTCTCTCAGGACAGGGCCACCAGGCTCTGCATCCCTACTCGATTCCTCTCCCGTGGCCTGTGCTCTCGGTCCTTTAGGGTGGGGCTGGGCTTCAGGAAGGAGCGGGTTCTCCAGCCACAGCCCTGTCCTCAGCAGCTGCACCCTCTGCACAGCCCATCTGCTCCCAGATGTGTGGGATCCCCAGCCTCATGGTGAGATCTAGCCTCACAATGATGATGTTCATTTCTCTCTCTGCCTTGAGGCCCCACCTCCCTCCCTGAATGCAGCCCCTCCCCTCCACAGCAGAGAGAAAAGTGAGGACTTCATGGGAACCATTCAACCCCATCTCCTGACCCTTCCCACTGCCACAGTCTATGGAGCTTCCCCACTCCTGGAGGGGGTGTATTGGGGGCGGTTCTCTCCTGCGTCCTTCCCCATGGACTCAAGCCTCTATCATGCTATAAAAGTGGCCCATTAGCGCCTCAAATCCCACGTCTCCAGAGGCCAGCATCTTTCCCCTACTACTCCGTGGTGTGCTGGTAAATGTTCATCAACCAGCTCCCCAGGAAGGAAAGCATAGCATTGGCTTATTTCTGTGGTGTAAATGTTCCCACCAAAGCCAGTGTCAACCGTGACACGACGTCACCGAACAGAGTTGGGAAGCAATGTGCATGGCTGCTTCTCTGAGTTCCTGCATCCCTCTCCTCTTTCTGCACGCTACAGGCATCACCATCAGCCATTCACTCAAACTGGAAATCTGGGGGTCATCCTAGAGCCCTCTCATCCCTCCATTGCCCCAATCCAACCGGCCCCCACCATCCATCCAGCTCCCACAATCCAACCAGCCCCCAAAACCCAACCGGCCCCCATCATCCAACCGGCCCCCACCACCTAGCCCCCACCATCCAACCAGCTCCCACAATCCAACCGGCCCCCATCACCTAACCGGCCCCCACCATCCAACCAGCCCCCAAAACCCAACCGGCCCCCATCATCCAACCGGCCCCCACCACCTAGCCCCCACCATCCAACCAGCTCCCACAATCCAACCGGCCCCCATCACCTAACCGGCCCCAACCATCCAACCAGCCCCCAAAACCCAACCAGCCCCCACCACCCAACCGGCCCCCACCTCCAACCGGCCCCCACATGCTGCCATCTGTCTCCTGCATGTTTCCTCTGTCCCCTCCTCTTGGCTCCTGTTCCTTGGGCAATTCCTCATCAGCTCTCTCTGGCTCTCTGTAGCAGCCCTGCCTGGCCTCCCAGCCCCAGGCTCCATCCTGCCACATTGCCAGGGAGGTCTTTCTGGAAGTCAAATATGATCAAGATCCTCTCTTGCTTAAACCTTTCCCCACTTTCCTTAGGATAGAATCGAAGCTCCATGCCCCAACTATGGCAAATTACTCAGAAATTCCAGACCCTATGGGCTGTCTCAAGGGTGACTATCGCAGGCCAAAAGAGTGAGGGTGGCAATCAACTCAGTATACCGCTGAAGGCTCTATGAGTAAACAGCAAACCGTTCTCATAAAAGCAGAATGTTGGCAACTGACAAACTGTGTCTGCCGCCCAGAAGGATTGCTGAGGGCAGGCTACGACCCAGGTAGAGGTGTTTCTTGTGATTAGCTACAGGGCACATCTGAAGCCTGTTAGTAATCATATGAACCTGTGATCAATTAAGCAGCTGACCAACTGTTACCTCCTCCTCCCTGCTCGTGCTACCCAATAAATACTAACAGCTGAAGTAGCTCAGGGTGGGGAGCCCTTCTTCCCCTGGCCTGTTCCTTTAATACTGCTTCTTTTGTCTTAAGTTTTCATTTCTACATTCATCCCCCTTCGTTCCGTCTCGTAATTATGGTCTCAAGTAGTGACAGTAGTAACTCTCGTAATGATGGTCTCAAGTAGTAACAGTGGCAAACTGCGGCAAATGGTGTCTGGACAGGGACACAACAGGGACAATCAGGGACAAACAGACCTGAAGGGACCTGCAGGGACAAATAGAGATAAGTAGGGGTAAACAGAAATAGAGATAAATAGAGACAAATAGAGATAAGTAGGGAAAGACAGGGACTTGCAGGAACTAACAGGGACTATAGGGACAGACAGGGATAGATAAGGACTAGCAAAGACTAGCAGAAATTTGCAGGGACAGACAGGAACAGATACAGACAGACAGCGTCCCACAGGGACTTGAGCGAGGAAGGTCTGCTGGAGCAAAAAAAAAAAAAAAAAAAGCCCAGAAAAAACTAAAAACCAGGCAAACGAGAACCCCGTTTCAAGTCTGCTGGCAGCATAAGGTTAGTGCTCTAAAAAGGTACTGGTCAGTGTCCTAGAGGTACAAAGAACGGAAAGTTTTTGAATCAGGGTAACATGGGGAAGAATTTGGTTCTTTTCTCTTTTTTGTTTGGAGTTTGGTACGTACCATCTTTTTGTCATTATTTCAGGGTTTGAGAGAATTTTTTGCCCCACCTACAGCACCTGTCGAAAGTGAACAGGAGAGGAAGGATGAAAATTGGCTTGTACCATCTTCTTTTGTGGCTACAGAAAGGCTAACTTTAGCTTTGTCTTTCGTGGCTTGTAAACGTGCGCTGGCACCTGTGAGATGTGCAGAGGACTTGGGAGGTTTTCTCAGAGCTTGTCAAGGTGTGGGAACTGAGCTTCCTTGCTCTGCAAATGTTGACTCAGGCAACGGCTAATTTGGTAGCTGACAGATCTAAAAGAAGCCAAAGGGTTAAGCCCTGAAATGGGAAAATGTTGTAAGTGTAGGAAAATTGGACATTTCAAAAAAGAACACTGCCAGACCTCTGGGCAAATCCTATAACACAGTTCCTCTCTCAACAGAAAAAACGCCAAGACTGCCCTCATTACAATAAAGGAAATCACTGGGCTCATCAATGCTACTCACAATTTCTTCAAAATGGCACTCATTTCTCACCTGGAAATAAGAAGGGCGCCTGGACCCGGGCACCTCAAACAATGAGGGCATTCCCCGTCCAGGCCACAGCTCCGTTTCAGGGGTCGGTCTCCAGAGGTACACTGATTCCCAGGAATGCCTGGAAACGCAGGATTGGATCTCCCAGGCAGAGTGTGTTTCGTTAACTGGAGGAGACTAACTCACTAAGATTCCCACTGGTATTTGGGGACCTTTGCCAACAGGATACCTGGGATTAATGTGAGGTAAAAGCTGTATTAACTTACAGAGCATTATTGTAACCCCAGGAGTTGTTGATTGGGATTGTGAAGGAGAAATTCAGTTGGTGGTGATGTCACAAGGCCTTTGGGTTTTTGAACCGGGAGAATATTTACTTAACTGTTGCTTACTCCCTGTAAATTGTACCCTTCTCTACGTAAGAAGAAGTGAGGAGGTCAGGGATTTGGAAGTACAACTAGGAGAGAGATGTATCTATCACAACCCACAGCATCTAGTAGATCCACTTGTGCAGTGTGAATTGAAGAAAGTAAGTTTTGTGGGCTTATGGATGCGGTCTCTCATGGTAATAGATCTTGAGGATTTTTTTTTTTTTTTAACTGAGTTATTGCACGAGAAGGATAAACTCTTGATTTGTTTTCTCTGTGTCTTCTATTAATCAGAAAGAGCCTGGCTCTTGCTATCAATGGAGTTTTATCTCGCGGAAATTAACCAAAGAGGCAGAAGCTGAGTTGCAGCTTGTGAAGCGGATGCTTCAGCAACGGCACGCGTCCCGGCTGCAGCCACAAAAGCCTTTGCTTCTGTTTCAGTAGATTCACTAACAGGCACGAGGGTATGCTTGTGTTTTCACAGGAAATGAACAAACCATGTGGGTGCCCTCAGGTGTGTGCGACCATGCAATGGGAGACTGGAGGGACCCATGGATCCCAACCGTGGGCCTGGTTCCCCCAGTATCAGCTGAACGCGAAGACGGAACACACCACCGACCGGCAATTAAGGGCTGCACAGCCTGCAATTGCCTTTCTCAATTCAAAAACAAAAAGGGAGAGAGGCTGCAGGCTGAAAAGGGCCGTGATCAACTCAGTATACCACTGAAGGCTATATGAGCAAACAGCAAACTGTTCTCATAAAAGCAGAATGTTGGCAAACTGAAACTGTCTGCTGCCTAGAAGGAATGCCAAGGGCAGTCATGACCCAGGCACAAGTGTTCTGATTATCTACAGGGCACATCTGAAGCCTGTTAGTAATAACATGAACCTGTGATCAGTTAAGCAGCTGACCAATGGTTACCTCCTCCTCCCTGCTCATTCTACCCAATAAATACTAAGGGCGGAAGCAGCTCAGGGCGGGGGCTGTCTTTGTTCCCTAGGAGCAGGGAGTCCTTTCCTTCTTCCCCTGGCCCCTTCCTTTAATACAGCTTCTTTTGTCTTAAGTTTTCATTTCTACGTTTGTCCCCCTTCCATCTCATAATAATGGTCTCAAGCAGTGACAGTAGTAACTCTAGTCGTGACGGTCTCAGTAACTACGGCAGTCTGTCACAGGTGACCTGTTACCCTTTTCCTCTGGCAAACAGCCCTCCTCCTTCCTGGCCCAGGTAGGCACTAAGGTCACTCCTCCCTGGTGCCCCTGTGGAGCCCTGAACAGACCTCCATCTTAGCCCATACGGGTGTTGTGAATTTCCTGGTCCTCTCGTGCCCCCCAACTAAAGGGTGAGCTCCTCCAGGACAGACCTAAGTCTTCATCTCTGTCTCCAGCCCTCAGGCTAGGGCCTGACCCAGAGTGGGTAACGAGCGAGTGTGTATGGAATGTGTGACAGATGTGGAACGGGGCATCTGCTTTGGGAATTTCACCAAGCCCCCGCAGCCAAGGACAAATGGATGCTCACATCCAACATTCTAAAGATACACATTCTTGTGGGATTGACTAAAAGGTGGCAGAACTAGTGCAGCCACCAAGCCACCTCCAGCCTGCATAAGGGAAGATAAGAAATTTGGAATGTGATCCTGGAAGGGACTTCATGGGGGTAGAGAGATCTGTGGCCCATTTCTACTCCCTGTAAGTGATGAGGGTGGTGAGGGGGACCCCAGGAGAACTGCCAAGAGCGATGGGGGCTGCCAGAGAAGAGACCCATGTCACTCCCCATCTGATGCCTGCTGAGCTCCAGAAGCCCATTTGCCACCTCCCAGGGTACTAGAATAGAGCCTGTTGACTGAGTTCTTGCCAGTGCTTGACTTTTGTACCCTGGAGTTAGGGACCTCCATGAACAAACAGATTAGTGCCTGCTTGCTCCTGGAGAATTCTGAGCCCATCCTGATGGGCCAGGAGGAGAGAGGACAGGAGATGGGAGCTACACATGTACTGTATGGTTGGGCAGGCATGAGCTTCCTGCTGACCAAAAGATGTCATGGAAGGAGCTGAGCTTCAGGCATCTAGATGGGATCCCGCACAAGCAGGCAGCCCATTTTCTAGAAGACCCCAGCAGGAAGAGGCTGTGGGATGTTCCACTTCAGCCTAGAGTCAGTAGGAAGTCTCAAGGGATCAGTGTTGGACAGTATCACTGCTGGACACCAGCACTGTATGGGAGTGCCTATAGGGGGTGTCTGAAGAACCCAAAGTACACATCATTCAAACACAACTTTTATGTGTCTGCCATATTGGAGGGTGTGGTGGCCAGTGAGGATTAACCATGAAAGAATTAGAACCAGCTAAGTCAAAAGACTTGGCCAGCTAGTGTCATGCAGGCAGCTAAAATCTGAGTAGGAGCCCTGTAGTCTTACTGGCTTGAAGAACCAGAGGAGAGAGTTTGGGGTACCCACAGCAGCTTGAAAGTGAGAAAGGAAATCTTGGAATAAAGAGAATCAGAGGAGTCCTAAACTTTGCACATAAAAATCTTCCCAAATCTCTGGTTGGTCCCTGACATGCATGGTGGAGCAGACTCCAGGTACTCTAGCCAAGGCTAAAATAACTAAACAGGGATTCTAGCTTCTGCTCATCCTGGTAGAGACACAGTTTGAGTCCAGCCAAGGTAGTTGCCTCCTAAAATAAAAAGTCAATGCTCTTTGAAAGAGTATAACAGAATCCAGAGTCTCTAACATATCATCCTCAATGTCCAGGATACAACCCAAAAGCACTAGACTTATGAGGAAAAAACAGTCAAGTGCCACATATATGAGGAAACAAACACACCACCATTCTCAACAGAAAAGACAGTTAATAGAGACTGACCCTGAGATGACCCAGGTATTGGATTTGCAGAAAAGATTTAAAAACTACTGTAACTCTGCTTAAGGATATAAAGGAAACAATGCTCATAGTGAATGAATAAATAGGAAATCTTGGCACAGAAATATAAAAAAGACCCAAGTACAAATTCTAGAACTGAAAAATACAATATCTGAAATAAAAAATTTGTTGGATGGATATGACAGCAGACTGGGGAAGACAAAAGATCAGTAAATTTGAAGACAGGTCAATAGAAACTATTCAATCTAAAGAACACAGAGAAAAAAGAAAAGATAAGCAGACCCATAGGTACCTGAATAACAATATAAAATAATTTTACAGAGGCTTAATTAGATTTTGAATGAAAGGAGATAGAATGAGGTAGAAAAAATATGTGAAGAAATAATAACAGTTTCCGAAATTTCATTTAAAGTATTAACCTAAAGTGAGTGAACCCCTAAAACACAGTAGTCTGTCCCTTAAAGCAGTGAACAATCAGCCTCTGTATCTTTGAATTCTGCTTCTACGCATTCAGCCAACATGGAGGGTAACTGCAGTGTTTGCAGGCTGACTATACATGTTTCTTCTAATTGGTATAGAAACCCATTCCTATAAAGCAAATTGTATATAAAGCACAAAATATATAATACAAATGAGGAAGCCATTCATTTACAGGGCCCTACACTACAGCCTGCTCTAAAAGGAATCGCTGGTCCATGATGACTCTTTTCCTAAAACCGGGTTTTACTCATGGCTTTTTAAAAGGCAGAGCACATAGAGAACCCTCGGTGGCCATGACATCTGCTGTCCTGAGACCCAGCCTGCAGGCTGCAGGACAGGGAGGTGTCATGGGGTGGTGGGGGAGGCTGTGGCCATGGGCTGAGAGCCAGCAAGGGGATCTGATGCTCTGAATGGGGTTGGGATGGGAGTGGGCACTGACCTGAGGCTGGGCCGCAGGATGGCGTAGCCCACAATGAAGTGCACCTTCTCCAGGTTGGACATGGGCCGGTCTGCACCAAGGCCATCAGGCTCCAATGTCTCCTCTCCAATGTTCAGCTGGCTGGCCACCTTGAAACCCAAAAGCAGCCATCAGGACAGCTATGATTCTCCCCATCTGCCAAGTAGGAAACTGGTGCACAGGGAGGGAAGCAATAGACTGGAACCCTGCAGCAGGCCAGCAACAGAGCTGGGAGCAGAGATTCTGTGCCCTGGGCTCACCTGGCCCGTGATCCGGGAGGACCGCTTCAGCTTCATGGAGGAGATATCCTTGGTTCCCTTGTCCTTGCGGCCAGATCTCTGTGGAGGGAGACAGTTCCCTCAGGAAGGTGAGCCTGGGCTCACCTCAGTGATGCTGACCCCACAGCCCCCTGGGGTGGAGCACATGTGCCTCTCACCCAGCCATTTCTTGGCCCGATTTATAAAGCACCACGCAGTCCCTTAGCTCGGTGGAGCTTTGCCACACACACAGGTGCATGTCCCATGCTCACTTCCAGGTGTGGAATCAGAGGCTCAGGGAAGGCAAGAGACTGGATAAAAGCTGCTCAGTGGGTCACCTGTCCCCAGGGAGGGGCTCAGGGCTGTTCTGATCCCAAAGCTTGTGCCCCTCCCCAGTAAACCCCTGGGAGGTGGGACTGGGTCTGCGCTCAGGTGCTTAGGAGAGCCCCAGGCCATGGTCATTCTCAGTAAAGATGGCAGATGAAGCAGGATGTCCTGCCACTGCAAGGTGCTCTGCCGGGGATCCTAAGAGCCAGGGTTAAGAAGCCGGGTGGGAGGGAGGGACTGGCTGTCAGCCACTACGATCTGTTGCTCTCCTTAGGCAGAGGCCGCCCCTTCTCATGATGGTGTCATGAGAAGAATTTGCTGCCAAACTTGGAGCTCCGTGTGGGACTGAGCTTGCGTGGGGGGTCAGCCTGGTCCAGGGCCAGGCATTAGCTCCTGGGTGCGTCAAAGCTGGTTTACCATGCAGGGGCTGGCCATGAAACACATGAACTGGCAAAGTCCGTGAGGGCAGCAAGGCTTGCTGGGCTCACTGCTCTGTGCCTGGGGCACATCATGGGTACTTAACAAATAGGTGCAGGACAGAAAACCTGAGATCTGACCTCTGGGAAGCCAGTCCTGCTTCCCCCCATGTCCACCCTCCAGAGGTGCTGGTTGGCTGGACTGCCTCCCAGAGTCTTTACTCTGAGTGGCTGCCAGCCTCCGAGGTGGCCCCCGTGATCCCTGCATCCTGAAATTCCTGCCCTGTGTGGGCCCCTCCCACAGCCACAGGTATGTGACTTCCAAGACTGGACATTTGCACCTTCCTTCTTGCCTTCCTTCTTGGGTTGCTCACGTTGCGGGAAGCCACGTTGTGAGGATGCCCAGGCAGCTCTGTGGAAAGGCCCACGTGACAAGGAACTGAGGCCTCCCACCAACAGCCATGTGAGTGAGCCCTCTTGGGAGCAGCTTCTCCAGCTGTCAAGCTTTCAGATGACACCATCCCCAGGGGACGGCTTGACAGCAACCTCATGAGGGACCCTGAGCTGGAACTATGCAGCTAAGCTGCTCCTGACCCTCAGAAACTGTGTGAGATCATGAACGTGTGCTATTTTAAGCAGTCAGGTTTGGAGGGGTAATTTGTTACACAGCTATAGATATCTGACACACTCTGGCAGAGCCCATACCTCCAGAGATCAAGGAGTCAGGGCTTGGGCCTGGGCAGCTTCTCTGTAATTCCAGACAAAGTTGGCCATGTGATGGGGCTGCAGGCTCCTTTAGATTCCCATGCAGTTAGTCTGCACACAGGACCCCACAGGTATGGAGCTAAGTCCCAGCTGGTCACCTGGCACATGGAGCAGTCATGGGCTCCTGCCACTGGCGGGCCACTGAGTGCTGTCACTGCTGTGTAATTCCTTTGGACAGTTCTTGGTTAGTTCCACTAAGATTACAACATGGAAATGGACCTTAGGAAGGATTTTGATCAAAAATGGATGTGAATTAACTTTCATTAGAGGGCAGGGTAGACCATGGGTCAGGAGCTCGGTTTTTGAATTCAGCAGAATGGATTCAAAGCCCAGGTCACATACACATGTCCACTGCAACTGGGGGCAGGTCATTTCAGCTCTTCGTTTCTTTAGCTATAAACAAACATAGTCATCCCTACCTTGTAGGGTTGGCCCACCTGGGAATTGAATTAAGAGACGCAGCTGGCACATAGCAGGCTGTCAGTCAATAACACCTGTTATTATTATTGTTCTGTGCATCTGAATCTGGCTCAAGTCACACCCAATACTCAGAGTCCAGGGCACCCTCTCCGTTAATGACTGTATAATTCAAAGAGCCCGGGGTGGGGGTTCATGAGCTCCTGAGCATGACTCAAGACTGAAAGCACCCGCGCCATGACCTGGGGGCTGGGTTTAGTGGGTGAGGCTGAGGAGAGGGCTCCAGGTCTTGTCTCTCCGTCCTGTCCAGCTGCCCCAGGGACTGGGCCCCAGTAGGCACCTGGCAGGTGTCGCCCTCCTCTGCCCGCTGCTGCCCCCCACTTGCCTGTGCAAATCTGTGCTGTAGAGCCTGGGCACCGTGCCCCCTGCCCAGTGTGTCATGGATCTGCCGCATCACGGAGCTGCCCTGCTGGTTGCTCCTGGCATACAGCACTGGCTCTGGGAGGTCGCCCATGAACCTCAGGATGACGTTCCACACGGCCAGGGCAGCCTGGGGAAATAAGACAGAAGGCCCAGTGGGAACCCATCGGTGACTCCAGCCCCTTCCTTCTTCCCCTGAGTCATAGCTCAGACCCCAGGCTCGGGGCTGGCCTGAGCCACTAGAAGCCAGTGAACCCTGGTACCAAGCAGTCAGCGTCATCTTCGTGGTAAAGCAGCGGGTATCGGAGGGGCCGCCGGATGTGCGTGTGGCTGGCTGATTTCTGGAAGTAAGTCACGGCGAACTTGGGGAAGGTGTACTCGGCCAGGCCATCCACATCCTCCTCAGGCTCCTCCACCATGGGGACTGTGTCCAGGTCAACCTCAGGCAGCTTCTGGGTCTTTGATTCCAGATCCTGGGGCCAGTGAGGGAGAACACGGGTCAGCAGGGCTTTCAGATACCAACCAACCTATCAGCTGGCTGTCCAGCAGGCCGGGCAGCACAGGGGCTGTGGCGTTACCCTGCTCCCTCAGGTGCTGGAGACCACCCATCCCCACATTCAGTGGGCTCAGGCGGGCTGCTGTGTGCCAGCACAGGGCTCTCTCCACAGCCTGCTGGGCAGGGGCAGGGCTCCTCCTGCCCTCTCCCCTCCTGGCCCCATGCTCGGACACTGTCCTCTACCGCATGCACCATCCTCACCGCAGCTTCCCCAGCCACACTGCAGAGCAGCGGCCTCAAAGGGGCTCTGGGGGTGCCCGGGTGCGGTCAGATATACACGGGGAATGCCGTGTGACGGGGAGCCCAGTAGCATTGGTAGAGAAGGCTGTAGGAAGTCTTGCAGGTGGGAAGCCTGCCTGACTCAAAGACTTTGACCACAGAACCCACGCACGCTCCCCTTGTCCGTGCAGGACCAGCAGGCCTGCACCACACACTTGGCCACCACTCTGGCTTCTCAGGGAACCGAGAGGTGGGCTGAGTTCACGGACAGGGCAGGCTTCCTGGGGCGGATTGTGGACACCAGGCTTGTGTTACCTCAAAGCGCGGCGGGGCCTGGCCCTCCTGGCCCCCAATCATGGCAGGGAGGAAGCCGAACACCTTCTCCACCATCTCCGTGTCAGTGACGGTGTCGTAGATGGATTTGCGCTTCTTGGCAGGGAGAGCGCCTTGGCTTTTCTGCCCCTCGGCCGGGATGACCAGCGGCGCCTGCATACCCTGTGGGGGAAGTTTACCAAGCAGGGCTCAGGGGGTCCAGCCCTGCCTACCCCACAGGGCAAGCACCTCCCAGAAGCCAAGTAAGCCTCATCCTGCCATCATTTGTCCAGATCAGTATTCTGCTCTGAAACAACAGATTTTAACAGCCAGGGTGGTTGGAGATCAACCAGTCAGAGCTTTCCCTTTCCCAGTGACAGTCAGAGCTCCGGAGAGGGGAGGTTGCTGGCTTGTCCCTACCCTCAGATGGTCCTTAAGGCACCCCTTCAAACTCCGGGAACCCCCTAGGAACCCAGCTGCACAACCACTGCTCAGGACCACTTGGTCCCTTCATTCAAAGGCATCAAGGGTCCACCAGGACAGGTCCCCAGGGGCTGGAGTAATGAAGTCACAGATCAGACGGCTTTGCAGCCAGCTGGGGGCACGCGGGTGCAGAAGCACACTGCTGACATGTCTGTGGGTGCATCCTCTCACCTGCCCTGTTCACTGTATTAGCAGTGTGCTCCGTAGACCAGGTTTTCATTCATGGAGCAAAAGTCAATGTCATCCTGGCCCCTTTGCCTTATCACAACTTACAAAGAGCCAAGTATGAAGGCTGAGTCTCGAGTATTCGATGGAGGAAATGGGGTTATTTCCTTGGTGCTGTCCCCCTGCTCCCTGTCCTCCAAGCCTCCCAGATACTCAGCAGCTCCCCTTGGTATTAATATTTCTGTCCCCTGAGCTGTCATACACAGCCCAGTAGCCAGGGCACTTTGCTCTCTTCCATGGAACTGGGCCTTTCTCACCTTGTCTGGCTCAGGTTTGTTGCACCTTCCAGGGGACCGACAATCCCTGTCCCAAAACTCATCTCCAAGGTGAAAGGGAGGGGACCTGAGCTCATCTTCCAGGTTCAAGGCTAAGACTATCCTGTTGACCTGCTGCCTCTCCCGTGCTATACCCTGCGTGCTCCTGGGTGGTGGCCGCAGCTCCCCAGCCATTGCAGAGCCACGTAGAACTGACTGTGAACAGGGAGAGGAGGGCGTGTCTCTCGTGATATCTACATCTCAGCCCAGGTGCCTGCTAACTTGCCTCTTGTGTACTGTATCCTCGCTGTGCTCTTAATTGAACAGATTTTAACATCTTGGCTTGTGCCGGGGATTTTCCAAAGTGCTTCTGGTGAGCTGTCTACACAGCTGCTCGTTCCTTCTTCTTGCCCTCGCCCACCGGGGCCCCTGTCAGCCCCACCTGCCCAAGAGGCCAGGTGACCACCTACATTGGCCCTCCTTTGCTGGAAGTTGCGTCGGGCAGCCATGCCCCTGGCATGGGCCTGAATGACCACCACTGCCCTCCTCTTGGCCTGGACTTGCTGGCGCACCAGGTATCCCCTGCACAGGGCCTGCAGCTGGACCGTCCTCTGCCGCATGGCCTGGTACTGCCTCGCCAGCTGCTGGCTCCGGGCGATAGCCTGCAGGCGCTCAAAGCCCACGAGGATCTGTGGAGGCAAAACAGGGAAGAGAAGAGGGAGGCGGGCTCAGCGGGGAGCAGAGGGAGGCGGGCTCAGCGGGGAGCAGAGGGAGGCGGGCTCAGCGGGGAGAAGAGGAGGCGGGCTCAGGTGCTAGAAGAGGGAGGCGGGCTCAGCGGGGAGCAGAGGGAGGCGGGCTCAGCGGGGAGCAGAGGGAGGCGGGCTCAGGGGCGAGAAGGCCTTCCCCAGGGAACAGAGAGGGGTGCTCCTCAGGAGATAGTGCAAGATAGATTTACAGTTAGTTTTGTTTTGGCAAAGGGCTGGTGCTAGAATGGTACACACCTATGAACACAAGAATAGTGAGTTATTGCTTGTAAAGTGCTTAGACCAGAGCCTGACGTGCAAATAAGTGCTAAATAAGCATGTGTAAAATAGCATAAATAATAAAGTGGCCTCCTTGGGGCCGTGGATGGAGAGAAGTGGTGTGTATTTCACGTGGGTGAAATAGGAGAGTGGATTCCCGAGGCCCTGCTGTCCACATCTGCCAGCCAAATGCAGCTCACTTGTCCACAGGTGAGCGTGCCTGTGCGGAGGCCTGTGGCCACGCAAATCCCTCAGGGCATCTTGAAAGTAAAAGTGCAGTAAGAAACGGATGAACGCCATGTCAGCGAAGCAGACATCCCCTGGGCCACAGCAGTCCCTGAGCTTCCTAAAGACCCGCCCAACGGGTTGGTTTAAGAGTTTGGAAGTCACAGTCCTCTCATCTAAACCCCAGCTCTGCGGTTCACTAGTCTCACGCTCTCGGGAAAACCACTCAGCTCCTCTATGTCTCAGTTCCTTGACGTACAGAGTTGGTTTTATATTAAATAAAATGATGTATGCGAAGCAATAGGCCCCAAGGAACTGCTCCACACAGGCCAGCTACTATCGTGCCCTTGGTGGGCATGGAACGCAGGCGGGCTGGGCCAGTCTTGCTGATGTGACCATTTCACGTCACCACCAGTCACATCCATGACAAAAGCGGCCAAGTGACACGGGCACAGCCATAGTTACTCTAGTTCATTGCTTTGAGCAGATACTCATTAGCAAATGCCCGTGGTTAAGAGAAAAATTAGGAAAAAGTACTCGAAACAAATCAATCCATTTGCTCATTTTGTTGCTTGTAAGTTGGGAAAAGACAGGAGTTATTCAATTCCACAGCAGGACACCTAGTCTAGCTCTGAAGATATCCCATGTTCTGCAAAACATTTTGAAGCCTACAGACCATGGGGCTGGAGATTACACTAAGAAGAGACTATGGGATGCTGAGGTCCGATCATTTTAAATTTGCATGCCACGTCTATGAGTGATTTGATCCTTCCTGCCTGAGGTCTCTCATTCAGAGAAACAAACTTTACACATCTGTCTCTTACTGTTACCCGCGGGCCCAGCTGTCCCAGCGAGTTCTCTCACCAGCTTGAAATTCCTCCTGTTGCAGTAGCCTCTCCACCAGGCCTGCACGGTCACGGCTGCCCGCCTCTGCCTCAGGAACTCCTTCCTAGAATGGCAACACAAGTCACACACATTTAACAATCCCAGATGGTTGAAAGCCTCTGGGGCAGAAAAACTGGTTTGCTGCTTTGGAAGGGAAAAAGGATAGTAAAATATTGGGGAAAATGAGTATGTACAATCCTTTCTCAAAAGGTGTTACAGACCAAAAGATGCACAGGCATTGGAACAAAAAATCTACTATCAGCAACCCAAATTTGTGGAAGATGACAGTGCAGTTGTTTTTTTTTTTTTTTTTTTTTAGACGGAGTTTCACTCTTGTTGCTCAGGCTGGAGTGCAATGGCACGATCTTGGCTCACTGCAACCTCTGCCTCCTGGGTTCAAGCAATTCTCCTGCCTCAACCTCCCAAGTAACAGGGATTACAGGTGTCTGCCACCACGCCTGGCTAATTTTTGTATTTTTAGTAGAGATGGGGTTTCACCATGTTGACCAGGTTGGTCTCAAACTCCTGACCTTAAGTGATCCACCCACCTCGACCTCCCAAAGTGCTGGATTACAGGAGTGAGCCACTGTGTCCTGCTGACAGTCCAGTTTTTTTAAGGTATCAGAAAATTCTTCCTCATTCTCTCTACCCCCAAAAAGCTATAAAGGGATAAAACTTACTTCTACATTTTTATTGCAGATGCCCCTCCTCTGGCCACTAACCCAGGGCTGGACACGGAGAAGAAAACCTGAAAGCTGGGCTCTGGCAAGGCGGAGTCACTCCCAGGCAAGCTCAGTGCATACAGAGCTGCAGGCATGCCTCAGTTTATTATGATGTTACTTTGCTTGATTGCACTTTGCAGATACTGTGTTTTTAGAAATTGAAGGTCTGTGGTAGCCGTGTGTTGAGTTAGTCTATTGGTATCATTTTTTCAATAGCATGTGGTCACTTCATGTCTGTATGGCGTTTTGGTAATTCTTGCAATATTTCACATTTTTCATTATTATTACATCTGCTATAACGATCTGTGATCTTTAATGTTACAATTGGAATTATTTTGGGGCACCACAAACTGCACCCATATAAGATGGGAAATAAATGTGTGTGTTCTGACTGCTTCACCAACCAGTAGTGCCCCCATCTCTCTCTGTCTTTTCTGTTTCCCTGTTCCCTGAGACACAGCGATATTAAAATTAGGCCAGTTAATAACCCTATTGTGGCCTCTAAGTGTTCATGTGAAAGGAAGCATCTCATGTCTCTCACTTTAAATCAAAAGTGAGAAATGATTAAGCTTTGTGAGGAAGGCCCGTCCAAAGCTGAGACAGGCAGGCCAAAAGCTAGGTCTCTTGCACGAAACAGCCGTGTTGTGAATACAAAGGAAAAGTTCCTGAAGGAAACTGAAGGTGCTCCTCCAGTGAACACACGAATGATGAGAAAGTGAAACAGCCTTCTTGCTGACATGGAGACAGTTTTCATGGGCTGGATACAAGATCAAACCAGCCACAACATTTCCTTAAGCCAAAGCCCAATCCAGAGCAAGATCCTAACTATCTTCAATTCTGTGAAGACTGAGAGAGGTGAGGAAGCTGCAGAAGAAAAGTATGAAGCTAGCAAAGTTTGGGTCATGAGGTTTAAGAAGCCACCTCCATAACATAAAAATGCAAGGTGAAGCAGCAAGTGCTGATGGAGAAGCTGCAGCAAATTATCCAAACAACAGATTTTCTTTTTTTTTTTTTTTTTTTTTGAGATGGAGTCTCAATCTGTCGCCCAGGCTGGAGTGCAGTGGCACGATCTCAGCTCACTGCAACCTCTGCTTCCCGGGTTCAAGTAATTCTCCTGCCTCAGCCTCCCAAGTAGCTGGGACAACAGGCCCCCACTACCATGCCCGGCTAATTTTTTTGTATTTTTAGTAGAGACGGGGTTTCAGCATATTGGCCAGGCTGGTCTTGAACTCCCGACCTTGCAATCCACCGGCCTTGGCTTCCCAAAGTGCTGGGATTACAGGCGTGAGCCACCGCGCCAGGCTAACAGATTTTCAGTGTAGACAAAACAGCTTTATATTGGAAGAAGATGCCACTAGGACTTTTATAGGTAACAGAGAGGTACAGAGAGGTCAGTGCCTGACTTCAAATCTTTAAAGGACAGGCTGACTCTCCTATTAGCGGCTTATGAAGCTAGCGGCTTATGAAGCTGGCGACTTTGCTAACTGCTGAAGCCAATGCTAATTGACCACTCTGAAAATCCTAGGGCCCTTAACAATCATGTTAAAGATACTCTGCCTGTAATCTAGAAATGAAACAACAAAGCCTGGGTGACAGCACATCTATTTATAGCATGGTTTACTGAATATTTTAAGGCCACCATTGAGACCTACTGCTCAGAAAAAAAGATTTCTTTCAAAATATTACCACTCATTGACAATTCACCCGGCCACCCAAGAACTCTGATGAAGACGTACAAGGAGATTAATGTTTTTATGACTGTGAACAAAGCATCCATTCTGCAGTCCATGGATCAAAGGGTAATTCAGACTGTCAAGTCTTATTTAAGAAATAAATACCATAATGCTATAGCTGCCATAGATAGTAATTCTTCTAATAGATCTGGGCAAAGTCAATTGAAAATCTTCTGGAAAGCTTTCACTATTCTAGATGCCACTAAGAACATTCATGATTCAGGAGAGGAGGTTAAACTATCAACATTAACAGGAATTTAGAAGTTGATTCCAATCCTCATGAATGACTTTGAGGGGTTAAGACCTCAGTGGAGGAAGAAACAGCATATGTAGTGGGAATAGCAAGAGAATTAGAATTAGAAGTGGAGCCTGAAGATGTGGCTGATTTGCTGCAATCTCATGACCAAACCTGAATGGATGAGGAGTTGCTTTTTTTTTTTTTTTTTTGAGACAAGGTCTCACTGTGTCGCCTAGGCTGGAGTACAGTGGTGCAATCTCGGTTCACTGTAACCTTCACCTCCCAGGCTTAAGTAATCCTCCCACCTCAACCTCCTGAGTAGCTGGAACTACAGGCGCACATCACCATGCCTGGCTAATTTTTTGTATTTTTAGTAGAGATGAGGTTTCACCATGTTGCTCGGGCTGGTCTTGAACTCCTGGGCTCAAGTGATCCACCTGCCTCCGCCTCTCCCAGTGCTGGGATTACAGGCATGAATCATCTTGCCCAGCCAGGAGTTTCTTCTTACAGATGAGCAAAGAAAGTGGTGTTGTTGTTGTTTCCTTTCTATATTTTCTTTGTTGGAGACAGGGTCTCACTCTGTAATCTGGGCTGGAGTGCAGTGGCGTCATCAGAGCTCACCATACCTTTGAACTCTTGGCCTCAAGGATCCTTCCACCTCAGCCTCCCAAAATAGCTGACTACAGGCATGCACCACCATGCCCAGATATTTTTGTATTTTTCTTTTGTAGAGACGAGTTCTCATTACATTGACCAGGCTGGTTTTGAACTGCTGGCCTCAAGTGATCCTCCTGCCTTGGCCTCCCAAAATGCTGGGATTACAGGTATGAGCCACTGTGCCTGGCCAACACGTTTTGATGTCACTCTACATGTATGTAGAGAAAATATTTAAGAAAATTGTATTACACACGAGAGAAGGTAAATGGACATAAAAGGGGGTAAAGTTTCTATACTTCACGGGAAGTGGTAAAATGATGACACCAGTAGATACCTTCTGTCTGTATGTGTATAATATGTGTATGATACCTAATGCAACTGCTTTAGAAAGCTATAAAAAAGACATACACTCTAACACATTGCAGATAAATCAAAATGAAATACTTAAAAATTTTTAAATAAGTCATAGAAAGGCAGGAAAAAGAAAACATACAAACGCAAAGGAGAGAGGAAAAAAATAGAAAACAAAAAATAAAATGACAGACTTGAGCTCTAACATGAATAATCACCTTAAATGTAAAAGGCCTAAATACAGTAGGTCCTCAATGTTGTTGATACCTTCTTGGAAACAGGCTTTGAGTGAGACGATATGTGATGGAACCAACTGTTTTCTCATCAACATTATAATGAAACCACATTGAAGGGAACAATGATATTCGAACACCTGCTGTATATTCTTGGGAAGTCATAGTTTCCAAGAATCTGTTGACGATGTTAAGGGATAATTTAATGTATGCCAGTGACATACACTGGCAGAATGGATCGAAAACCATGACCCAATTACATACTGTCTATGGGAAACTCACTTAACACACAGTTATATAGGTAGGCTGAAAGTAAAAGGATGAAAAATATAGATCATGTAAATAGTAATCAAAACAGGAGTGGCTATATTAATACCAGATAAAGTAGACTTCAGAGCAAAGGAGATAACCAGAGACAGAGAAGGATATCACATGATAATAAAAAGCATATCCACCAAGACATAGCAATCCTAATTGTGTATTCACCAAACAACAGAGCTACAAAATATGTGAAGCAAAAATGATAAAACTGAAATGGAAAACGCAAGTCCACAATCATAATTAGAGACTCTCTCAACAATTGATAAAACACATAGACAGAAAATCAGCAATAATATAGACTTCAACACCACTATCAACTAACAAGATCTAATTGACATTTTTCAGAGCACACTACCGAATTAACAGCGAAATATATGTTCTTTCCAAGTGCCCTTAGAATCTGTACCAGGAGAGGACATATCTTGGGCCACAAAGGAAACTTCAACATACTTAATAGAACTTAATTCATACAGAGTGTGTCTCTTACCACAGTGAAATCAAACTAGAAATCAAAGACAAAATGATAACAGGAAAATCCCTAAACACTGAAAACTAAACAACATACTTCTACATTTTCGCAGAGGAAATTTCAAGGAAAATTTAATTTTTTTCTGAATGAAAGTCAATGAAATTGAACTAAATGAAAGTATAACATGTGAACATTTGTGAAACACAGCTAAAGCAGTGCTAAGACAGAGATTTATATCACTCTACATTAGAAAAGAGGAAAAGCCTTGAATTAATAATTAATCTCCTGCCTCAAGAATCTAGAGGAAGAAGGGTAAAATACACTCAAAGTTGGAAGGATGAAAATAATAAAAGAGCAGAAATTAAGGAAATTAAAAATAATTAGAGAAGAAGTAATGAAACTAAAGCCTGATTCTTTGAAAAGGACAAGAATTTTTTTTTTTTTTTTTTTGAGACAGAATCTTACTCTTGTTGCCCAGGCTGAAGTGCAATGACATGATCTCAGCTCACCACTACCTTCACCTCCCAGGTTTAAGCAATTCTCCTGCCTCAGCCTCCTGAGTAGCTGAGATTACAGGCACCTGCCACCACGCCCAGCTAATTTTTGTATTTTTAGTAGAGACGGGGTTTCGCCCTGTTAGCCAGGCTATCTCAATCTTCTGAACTCAAGTGATCTGCCTGCCTCGGCCTCCAAAGTGCTCGGATTACAGGTGTGAGCCACTGTGCCCGGCCAGGACAAGAAAATTGACAAATCTTTAGCAAGACTGACAAAGAAAAAAAGGAGAAGACATAAATTGCAAATATCAGGAATGACACAGGGGATATCATTACAGAGTCTGCAGATTTCAAGAGGATAATAACGGAATACTATGAACAAATTGACATACACACATTTGACAACTTAGATAACATGGACTAGTTCCTCAGAAAGCACAAATTACAACTCACTCAATATAAAATAATTTGAATCATTCCTATAACTATTAAATAAATTGAATTCATAATTAAAAACTCCCTATAAAAAAATTCCCAGGCCAAGATATTTTCACTGGAGATTTCTGCCAAACATTTAAAGAAAAATCACATCAATTCTACATAATTTCTTCCAGAAAACAGAAGAGGAAACACTTCCTAATTCATTTTATGAAGTTAGTGTTACTCTGATACCAAAACCAGACAAAAGAAAAAAAATCCTCAGACCTCATGAATATAGATACAAAAATCCTTAATGAAACATTAACAAACAGCATTCAGCAACGTCAAAAAGAATTATACACTAGGACCGAGTGGAGTTTCCTCCAGGGATGCGAAGCTGGTTCAATATTTAAAAATCAGGAAATGTAACCCACCACATTAAAAGGCTAAATGAGAAAAATCACATATCATTATCAACTGACGCAGAAAAAAAATTGACATTCAACACTTGTTCGTGATAAAAACACCCAGAAAACTAGGAATATGGGAAGCTTCCTTGACTTGAGAAAGGGCATCAACGAAAAACCTACAGCTAACATTATAAACACACACACACACACACACTGACATATATACATACATTTTTTTTTGAGACAGAGTCTTGCTCCGTCGCCCAGGCTGGAGTGCAGTGGTGCAATCTCGGCTCACCGCAAGCTCTGCTTGCTGGGTTCACGCCATTCTCCTGCCTCAGCCTCCCGAGTAGCTGGGACCACAGGTGCCCACCACCACGCCTGGCTAATTTTTTCTTTTTTTTAGTAGAGATGGGGTTTCACAGTGCTAGCCAGATGGTCTCAATCTCCTGACCTCGTGATCTGCCCGCCTCAGCCTTAACATTATCTTTAATGGTTAAAGTCTGAGTGTTTTCCCCCTAAGATAAAGGACTAAGCAAATATATCTGTTCTCACCACCCGAATAATACTGGATGTTCTGGCCACTGCAATAGGCAAGAAAAGGAAATAAAAGACATATGGATTCGGGGAAAAAAAAAAAAAAGATAGAAAACTGCCCCTATTTGCAGATGACAAGATGATCTACATCGAAAATTCTAAGGAATTTATAAAAAGTGAGCTCAGCAAGGCTGCAGGATATGAAGTCAACACACAAAAATCCAACATATTTCTATTTGCTAGCAATGAATATGCCAATGTCAAAATTAAAAATACAGTACCATTTACAATTACTAAAAAAACATGTAAATCTAATAAAACATGTACAGGGTTTATATGCTAAAAACTACAAAACACGGACACGTGAAATCAAATAATATCTAAATAAATGGAGCTACATATCATGTTTATGGATTGGAAGATGGATTTAGTAGAGATACTGATTTTCAAATTGCTATACAAGCCTATTACTATCAATAATCCCAGCAAGGTTTTGTTTGTAGATATAGACAAGATTATTTTTATATGTACATGGAAATGCAAAGGAACTAGAATAACTAAAACACTTTTGAAGAAGAAAAGTGGGAAGAATTAGTCTACACAGCTTTAAGACTTATTATATAACTACGATAAACAAGATGCTGTGGCATTGTGGAGGGATAGAGTCATCGACCAATGGAATGGGATACAGAACCTAGAAACAGACCCACACCAGTAGGTTTTGATAAAGATGTAAAAGCAATTCACTGAAGGAAGGATAGACTTTTTAAAATGAATAATACTGGGGAGACAACCATAGGAAAAAAATTTAAAAGAACCTTGACCTAAGTGTCAGGCTATATACAAAAATTAATTCAAAATGGGCATGTATCATGGACCTACATGTAACATATTTAAAACTATCAAAACTTTTAGAAAAACACAAAAGAAAATCTTGACAAAGAGTTCTTAGACTCAACACTAAAAGCATGATCCATGAAAGAGAACTTTGATAATTAGACTTTACCAAAATTAAAAACTTTCGCTCTGCAAAGGGCTCTTAAGAGGATGAACAGACAACCTACGGACTGGGAGAAAATATTCACAAACCACATAGTTGACAGAGGACTAGTATCTAGATTATATAAAGAACTCTCAAAACTCAACAAAGACTCCAACTAGAAAACAGGCAAGCAACATGCAGAGACAGGTCATCAAAGAGGGGACACATACATGACAAGCACACACAAAGGTGTTCCACATTGGGGAATGTTAAGGACAGCCACAATGAGAGATCATCGCAGACCTATCAGAAGGGCTAAAATAAACAATGACAACATCAAATACTGGTGAGGATGCAGGGGCACTGAGTCAGCCAGGCACTGCTGGTGGGAATGTAAAACGGTACAGCCACTCTTGAAAACAGTTTGGCAGTTTCTTAGAAAACAAAACTTGTAACCACCGTATGACTCAGCAACTGCACTCCTGGGCATACATCCCAGAGAAATGGCAACTGATGTTCTCACAAAAATCTCATAAACGCTCATAACAGCTTTATTCATCGAAGCCAAAAACTGGAAACAGCCCAGATGTCCTTCTACAGGTGAATGGTTAAACAAACTGTGGTGTATCCATCCCATAGAACACTACCCAGCAATAAAAAGTAACAAAATACTGGCTGGGCGCAGAGGCTCACACCTGTAATCCCAGCACTTTGAGAGACTGAGGCGGGCGGATCACTTGAGGCCAGGAGTTTAAGACCAGTCTGGGTAACATAGCGAAACCCCATCTCTACAAAAAATACAATAATTAGCCGGGCATGGTGGCAGGTGCCTGTAGTCCCAGCTACTTTGGAGGCTGAGGCCGGAGGATAGCTTGAGCCTGGAAAGCAGAGGTTGCAGTGAGCCAAGATTGTGCCACTGTACTCCAGCCTGGTTGACTGAGCGAGACTTTGTCTCAAATAAATAAATAAATAAATATTAATGCAAGCAATAACCTGGATGAATCTCCAGAGAAACATGCCAAGTGAAAAAAGCCCACCCCAGACTGCATGTTGTATAATTCCATGTATATAACATTTGTGCAATGGCAACATTCTAGAAATGCAGAACAGGTTAGAGGTTGCCAGGGTTAAGCAGGGCTGGGGATGGGTGTGAGGGAGGGAGGCATGGGAGGTAAGACGTTTTCACCGGGGGAAATGGGTGAAGAGTATACGGCGGTATCTCATACTGTTTCTTACGACTGCATGTAAATCTACAATAATCTCAAAACAAAAAGCTTAATTTAAAATGTTGGGAGTCAGTGGGCCTGTTTGGTCAGATGTGGCCTGTTGTCCTGAGATCAGCAGCACCAGCGGCTGGCCCTGAGCTGGCCTCCGGCTTCGCAGCAGCAGAGCTGCCTCTCTAGCTGTGGGCCCTAGCTCCCTGCTCCCTGCCCTGATCTGTGCCCCCTCATTCTCTGTTCCCGGGGCTGGCTGTCTTCTCCCACGTTCTCATGCCTGGGTTTCCAGCCCTTGCTATGGTGGCTCAGGAACCCAGGTGAGGGCGGGGCAAGGCAGCAGCGCTGCTGATCCACTGATCCTGGATTACAACTCGGGCGGTACCCTCTTACTGAACAGGGAACGCAGGCAAGCCAAGGGTTCTTTTCCCTCCAAAAGCAAATTGCCTCACAACCCAAACCCATACACTGACATAATTGAAGGGGAACGTCAAACCCTGGTTGAGAGCAGGGCTGGCCCTTCATTCCGCTCCCGTCTCTTGCATATGGAGTGTTTTGTGTTTTTTCCAAACATTCCAATAATGTATCAGAATTCTCTGGCCAACACAGGTTGCAGTGTCCCTGGTTGGAAGGCATTGGAAGATCTCAGTAACCCCAGGGAGGGCCCAGCAGGAACATGTGATCCTGGTTTGTGGGCTGCAGGTCTGTGTGGGGACACTGTGGGCAGGAGTGGGCTAGATGGGCCTTGGGGCAGGGCCGGCACCTGTATCTGTAGCCCCGCAGGACTCTCTGGATGCTGAGCGCCGCTCTGTCCAGCACCTGGCTTCTCTGTACCTCCAGCAGAGTGTCCTGATGATCCTGGAATGGGAGAGACGCCGTCACCAGGCTGCTCACCCTCACCCCACAGCCCCTGCCTGGGGCCTGGGCTCTGTCTCCCGAAGGTAGCATCTCTCAGGCTCCTCCCAGGAGGGCAGGCCAAAGAAGGGGGCCTTCAAAGTGACCTTCATGTTGCTCAGAGACAGGAGCTGCAACTGTACCTCCCACCCCAATCCAAGAACTTCCCACATTAGCTCTTTCTTCTTGCTAATTCAATCTGGCATCCTTCATTTCTGCTCTGAAGAATTCAAGGGGGGGCACAAAATTTTCCTGAAATTGTGTTTTATTTCCCAAAATTCATGTGACATTTGCCTTCAACCGTGTAAAAGCCCCATGTTTGTTTCAATATAAAAATGTTTCCCTCAATAATAGTGGGAGATTTTTAACACCCCACTGTTAATATTAGACAGATAGTCAAGAAAGAAAATTAACAAAGATATTTAGGACTTGAACTCAGCTCTGGATCAAGTGGACCTGATAGATATCTACAGAACTCTCCACCCCAAAACAACAGAGTATACATTCTTCTCGGTGCCACACGGCACTTACTCTAAAAGTGAGTAATCTGATCACATAATCAGAAGTAAAGCACCCTCAGCAAATGCAAAAGAACTGAAATCACAACAAACAGTCTCTCAGACCACAGTGCAATCAAATTAGAACTCAGGATTAAGAAACTCACTCAAAACCACACAACTACATAGAAATTGAACAACCTGCTCCTGAATGACTCCTGGGTAAATAATGAAATTAAGGCAGAAATCAAGAAGTTCTTTGAAAACAATTAGAACAAAGAGACAACATACCAGAATCTCTGGGACACAGCTAAAGCAGTGTTAAGAGGGAAAGTTATAGCACTAAATGCCCACCTCAGAAAGCTAGAAAGATCTCAAATCGACACCCTGACATCACAACTAAAATAACTAGAGAACGAAGAGCAAACAAATTTCAAAACTAGCAGAAGACAAGAAAAAACCAAGATTAGAGCAGAACTGAAGGAGATAGAGATACGAAAAACTCTTCAAAAAATCAATGAGTCCAGGAGCTGGTTTTTTGAAAAAATTAATAAAATAGACCACTACCTAGACTAAAAAGGAAGAAAAGAGAGAAGAATCCAATAGACACAATAAAAAATGATAAAGGGGATATCACTACTGAGCCCATGGAAATACAAGCCACCAGAGAATAGTACAAAAACCTCTATGCAAATAAACTAGAAAATCTAGAAGAAATGGATAAATTCCTAGACACATACACCCTCCCAAGACTGAACAAGGAAGAAGTTGAATCCCTGAATAGATCAGTAACAAGTTCTGAAATTAAGGCAATAATAAACAGCCTACCAACCAAAAAAAGCCCAGGACCAGATGGATTTACAGCTGAATTCTATCAGTATTACAAAGAACAGCTGATACCTGTTTTTTTTTTTTTTTTTTTTTGAAACTATTCCAAACAATTGAAAAGGAGGGACTCCTCCCTGACTCATTCTATGAGGCCAGCATCATCCTGATACCAAAACCTGGCAGAGATACAACAAAAGAAGAAAACTTCAGGCCAATATTCCTGATGAACATCGATGCAAAAATTCTCAATAAAATACTGGCAAACTGAATCGAGCAGCACATCAAAAAGCTTATCCACCACGATCAAGTTGGTTTCATCCCCACGATGCAAGGCTGGTTCAACATACGCAAATCAATAAACATAATTCACCACATAAACAAATCTAAAGACAAAAACCACATGATTATCTCAATAGATGCAGAAAAGGCCTTCGATAAAATTCAACATCGCTTTATGTTAAAAAAAGAAAAACTCTCAATAAACTAGGTATTGAAGGAACACACCTCAAAATAATAAGAGACATTTATGACAAACCTACCGTGCCCTGAGATGGTTCCTCTGCTGGCCTTGCCTCCCCCACTAAATTGGAAGCCACTCGGTTTCTTCCTGCACATCTTAGCCTCTGAGCCCCAGCACAGCCTGACTATTGCACAGTCAAAAGGACAGACAGACCGATTAGAGGGCTGGGGCCAGGAGGGCCCTCTGAGGACACATGCGGGCAGGTGGGCAGGCACTATGGGGGAAGAGGAAGGGGCAGCAGGGGTGGGTGGGGGCTCCGGCGAGCTGGTAAAGCGTCCTCCCAACTCTGCTCCCAGCTCTTCCTCTTCCCTCTCACTGTGCTGGCCCGCCGAGGCTTAGAAGGCTAGGGGACAGGGAGGTTCCCTCCTCAGTGGTTGTGACCCAAATGGCACTTCTGGAGGGCCCCGAAGCTTCCTTTGTGTGACTTCAGCTCCCTGTGCGTTTTGGGGGAGGCAGGTGGTGGCGGTGATGCTCGCACAAGCCTCCTAAGGACAAGTCACTTTGTGGGGAGTTGACACACAGCCCTCTTCCACTAAAGCAGTAGCCCTCCAGGCTCCGCAGAGGCTGGGCCGCCCCAGTGTGGGGAAGCCTGCATGGCAGGATGTGGTTCCCGGCATGATGGAGGCAGGTCTCAGGACACCGGCAGACCGCCCTGAGCTCCTGGGTGCTGCCCCGTGGCTGGAAGGCGCCTCCTCTGCACCCTCAGGCCTTGCCCTAGGTGCCCCTCTGAGAAGCCTCCTGGGCTTCCACAGGCTGGGCTGGCCCTCCCCAGTCCCCTCACCACTACCTCATTGTCCCCTAGCGTGACATTCTACATCCAGGGGTGCCCTGAGGGTGGGGACCACGCTTTGAGCTGCTGCCCAGTGCCATTGGCTCAGGGCACATGGACCATGGACCCCGGGCCTGGTGCAAGAGCTGACAAGCCCACGAGCTGCAGGAGGCCGTAAGGCCAGCTGGTTCCTGGGGGTCTCACCTTCAGGAAAATTTTAGTCTTCCCCACTTTCCAGTCTTTGTCTGTCGGCAGCCACATGTCAGCGATGCCCAGGGTCATCTGGCGGAACTTGCCTCGCAGCTGCCAAGACCAAACGGGGGTGTAGGTGGGATAGAGGGCAGAGACCCCTCGGCGGCTCTCTGGGGGTGGAGTCTCCCTCCTCCTCCTCCCACAGGCTCCCCCATCAGGGGCTGCCCGCGCCCCAGCCCAGGCACAGGCACAACGGGAACCTCGAGCAGGGGTTGGGGTGAGGAGCGAACTCGGGGCCTGGGGCCTCCATGTGTTGTGGGACGCTCGGCCCCAGCCAGGCCCAGCCTCAGGATGGCTGAGAGTTCCAGACCGGACAGGAAGAACCTCGGGCCCCAGTAGCTTTCTAGCCCCACCTCGGCTCTCCGACGCGGTAGGAGAGAACGTGTCTACTGTACAACTGCAGACACGGTCCAGAAGGAACCGCTGCGGCCGCCAGCTCTGCCGGACCCCAGGGAAAGCCCCTCACCTCCGCGGCGCTGGGAGACGGACAGGGCAGGGCGGGAGGAGGCGAGAGGGAGGAAGGACAGGGCTCATGGCAAGGCTGGGGCCGGGGAGGGCAGCGGGAGGCCGAGGGGA